GAAAGTTCTTCTAACTTTCCTCTCTTTTAGTAGAAAGTTCTTCTAACTTTCTTTTTTGCCCCTTTGCTTTTTTATTTCGTCATAGATTATAAGAGTGCAAGCTTAGAAGTAGAGGTACCCTGCGGCGTTTAGAATAAGTTAAGCGTATGCGTAGGATCCTATGCAATTTGTATTAAGTTAATGTATGTGCGTGTATGTGTGTGTGATACAAGCTCTTTACTGGATGTGGTAAAGAACTTGTATATACGAGCGTATGAGCTGAGTAGAGTTAGAACTCATTTATCCTTCTGATAAATGAGGTTTGCATTTGGAGGGAGGATGGGATTTGGAGTTAGGGTGGGTCACTATCGTAGCCACCTCCACGTGGTGTGACCTGGTAATTGGTATAGTTCTCTGAAGGCTTTAAAAAATCTTCAGAGAACTATACCGAGCTAAGAGCTACGATTAGAATTTAATTTAGAATTAGAATTTAGAATTTAAGAGCTATGATTGTAATTTTACTTATAATATATGTATATATAGTTGTATAGTTTTATACAGTCATATATATAGCTAACCTAACCCAGCCTAATGTAATCTAACCCAACCTATACATTCATAGTTTACAGTGCAATTATAAGAATTTTTGAAAAATTATGTAGGATCATTAAGGTGCCCTCATCAGTCACCACTGCGTGTACCGGCTAGGTACGGCATTGGCAGCAAGCTGTGACGTCAGCTGACGTATGCGCATAAAGCTCTCGCGTGAGATAAAATTTCACGACTGCCCAACACTGATACTTGTCTATGTGTGTACTATAACGGATAATGAGGATCGCTTCCCCTTTACCGCCATTTTCCCCAAATTTGTTCTCAAGTCTACCAAATAAATAAACATTACCCTAATTGGAGTGTAAATCACTGTGTGAACAGATAGAAATGTTAGAGGATCAAGAAAAATTAAAAATATCCAAAAAACCTATCCTTTCTATTGTCCTCTTTATCTATATTATATCGTAGTAAATTTATATTATAACACGTTGTAAGACTGAAATAGGTTTCCCCGAATATCGTCCTCCTATCTCGAATCGGCTGCCACCATAAAGCTCAAGGCGCAAAAGATACCAACACGAATTACCAACCATATATTTTACCGATTTAGTCGCCATTTTCATCGCCATATCTGTAACTAACTTCACGTGTCTCATGTGTTTCTGTTTGCGCGAAAAACGTGTAAAACGGAACGGAATAAACGTGAATTATAAAGAAATTTTGTGAAGATAAGATTGTATAAAATATTATTATAAAACATGAAAGTGATTGTTATAACTGTGTAGTCATATTTTATAGGCTAAAAAGCTAAAAAGGGTTAGGAAATGGCAGAAATTTCTAATTCCACTGTGTTTACAAACGATGCATCTTCTACTGGTGCTTCCGATCTTCTTCAACAAGCGTTCCAACAAGTTGTTGATGATGATGATCATGATAATGAGTTTGTCGCATTCTTACACAATGACGACAATGATTCACAAACAATTCACTTGACTCCGGAACAAGCAGCGGCCTTAGGATTAACCTTTGAGGTAAACTCAGGCGAGGAGGTTATGTATCAACAGGATCAAGATAATGCTACTTCAAACATACAACAAAATGTTTCAACAAAGGATAGTATTAATGTACAGGATCAAAATTCGTTATCTTCCCAAGATTCTATGACAATTGATCAGTTAAATTATCAACCCGAAGAAGTACAGAAGTCTAATGATAATGATTTCATTAAAACAGAATGTATCGATTTTCAAGAGTGGCATATGCATAAAGTACCTCAAAATGAACACCTTCAGGATCAAGTAATTAAGAATGATTTATCATTAGAAGAAATAAATTTAAATGATCAAAATCACGAAACTCAACAAATGATCGAACATCAAAATAATATGATTCAACAGAATTCAGGTACACAGACAATAATTTTGGAACAGTCTAAAGTACATGCCATAAAAACAGATGTTGCTCATGTTAAAAACATTCATGAAAATGATTTACAATATACCATTGAAGATAGCATAGCACAAAATCAACTTAATACGATACCTAATTCTCAGGCGCAAATCTTACAGAAACTACCTGTGATCTTGCCATCTTCGCAATTTATTATAAAACCCGCACAAACTATACTGAAACCAGCTAAGAATATTAGATTATTTCAAGGTTCAAATAAACTTAATGCTACTGCGAATCCTATGAATACCGTACATTCGCTTAATACTACTTCCAATCCTAATTCTGTGTTACTTTCAAAGACTACAATATTGAATAATTTGTCACCACAAATAATAAAAGCTACTCCTATAACCCAGTTATTAAATACTAGTGGTATATCTGCGCAACTTTTAAGTACTTCGCAAATAATAACAGGTGCTTGTGAAATACAGAACCAATCTATCAGCACACCACATATTGCTAACACTATAGTAAATACTACATCTGGGACAACACAGAATCTTGTTACTCCACAAATACGTTTATCCCCGATTGTAAAAACATCGCAATCTCTTCAAAGGGGAAATGTTCAACAATTTTTAACTCCAGTGCTAAAAAGTGCATCAAATATGCTTCCAAAGACAAATCAAATTTTGAACAATACAAGTGTAGCAACAGCTATTCCTGCACAATTCTTGAAATCGGTACAAATTCATCCACAATTAATTAAAGCAAAAACCACGATTAATAAAAAATCTGCACTAGCAAGTGGAATGTCAAAAACTACAGTTAATTCTAATGCACCAGTTGTACTTCGTACTGCATCAATTGTTAAAAGTCAAGACTTGAAAACAGCAACAACAAGTTCTACATCTATTTTGAAACCAACTCAAATTTCCTCAACACCTATATCTATTTTAAAACCTCAAGCAAAAATTGCATTTAATAATACAACTAAACAAAATGCAACTGTTGCATGTCAAAATGATACTAACATTTTAAATAACTCAATGAATATTTCACCGAAATCATCTATTATACAACAAACTGGTGCAGTTGAATCTAGTAAACCAATACAGAATGAAGCAATTAAACAGAAACTTAATCTCATAGTAAATGGTACAAATCTTAAAATGAATAAAAAAGTTAAAAATACACCAATTAAGTCAACGGTACTAAGTGAATCTACAGACACATCTAAACCATTGGGATCTAGCGAGAATCCAATACAAATAGTTCAGCAAGGGCAGACATTTCACAGGTATGTGAATAATACATGTACAACACATTTTTAATATTTCCTTTGTAACATTTCTTATATTTATTTCAGTATGCAACGCTTGACACCAACACAGTTGAAGCAAATTGCACATGTATTGCAACAACGTAGTCAAGAAGCAGTTGCTTCAAATGAAAGAGTTGTGTATAGGTTAGTAGATACATATATTATCTATTAACTTTTATATCTAAACAACATATATCTTCAGGGTTGTTTTTCCTGAAGAATTGGATTTGAGAATTAGAAATCCGAGTAATTTATTAAAAAGCCGTGGCGGGAAAAGAGGTAGACCAAAAAAGAGTGCTATCAGACCCTCATCACTTCCACCTAAACCACCACCAATTCCTGATGAAGAACAAGAAGAAATGAAGGTATGAATGGTTTACTTCTCTAGTATACCATAATGGTTTACTGCTGTAGTTTTTGTAATTTTAATGTGTTAATATTTCCTTCAGGATGAAAGGAAAAAGGTTGTAGCCAGAACACGGTCTGGCAGACTTTCTCGACCACCAAGACATATGGTACGAGATTACAAACATTTACACCATTTGGATTTTTTACAACCTGATTTAGACGATTCAGATGGTGGTTATAGTGATTATAATACTAATAATGATAAACTCGATGAAGAAGAATCTCCTAAAGAATTATTAACTGGACTAGAAGTACCAAAAAGGAAAATATCAGATCATTTCAGATGTCCTACGTGCAATAAAATATATTTAGGACGTACTCGCATGGCAAGGCACTTCGAAATGCATCCTGATCATGGTAGTCCTGAACAATTACCTCCTCCAACGCCTGAACCTGAATTGAAACAAAATGGTGGGCAAGATCCTTTAAAACGTAAGGGGAAAAAACGGGGTCCTTGGGCGTACGTTACACCAGAAGCTAAGTCAGAAAGACGTCAAATAAAATTAAGAGAAGCAATTTCTGTATGCGAAGATCTCGAAATAATAAAAATAGCTGCAAAGCCAGTACTTAATGCACAATCATTATTTGATTTGTTAGTACTAAAGTCGGAAAATAATGTACGAAATTTCTTGGACGAATTAAAACAATTAATGGACAAAATACGAGAAAAAGCTGGGACAATGTTAACGACTGCAAATAGCGATGAAGAATCAAATAAGGATTTAATAGACATCAGTGAAGAATCTCTTTGCGATGCTTTGGGTGTTAATCCTGGTCTATATAAAATTAATAACGAAGCGTTAAAGAAAATTGACACTCCTATTTGCAGCACGTACGATAATCGGGAACCTCCTCTCAAGTTGCAAAAAATTGACAATTCTGAGGATGGTAAAGAAAACCTGGAAGAACGAATGTCTAGTGGATTTTCTGAAAGTTCAGATCTCAGTGTTTCAGACTTTTTAACCGACAGAAGAAGCGATCCCGTAACAAATCCTACTTGTCCAGAAGTATTATCAGCTTTAACTCTGATGAGAAGAAATCCCAGTCCTGTGAATAATGCAGAAAATAATAAATCTAACGTCTCGAAACTTTTAATCTCAAGTCCAGAGATTCAAAATCAAATTTCAGATAATCCTGGTTTTCAAAAAGTGGATATTAATTCACCAAAAGTTTCAACCTATCAAAAATCAGAGACTCATAAAGAAAGTTTCACAAAATTAGGGAACAGTTTAGGATCATCAAACTTCTGTAAGGTGGAAGATAATTATGAAGAATCTAAGTTAGAACATATAGAACAAGCTTTCATTAAGTTAGAACCAACGGAACAGGGTTTTGTTAAGTTAGAAAACGGTGCTATGGGAACCTATCCAAAACAAGATACCCCAAATTTTGAAAAAATGCAAAGTGATTTAAATAGTATAGAAAATAGTACACAGAACTTGGCAAAAGGGTTTCAAAAATTAGTTTCTAAAATAATTCCTATGACTTCATCAGATATAAATTGCGTGAAAACTCAATCTGTACCATTAGATACAAGTTCTAAAATAATGCCTGCTACATCTAGTTGCAAAATTTCGGACAACCTACCTATACTTCAAGATACAGTACCAATAATTTCAAATAATTGTGATACTAGTATATTTGGCAGTTCAGAAAATTTAGACATGTCGAAAATGGCTCAGTATGACCATATTACACATTTAGATATTTTAAGTACAAGTGGTGTAATAGACAAGAATTTATTGATTGATGAAAAATTAGTTGAACAATTGCATCTGGTGGATCAGTCAAATTTAGTCGATGAACTAGTATCGGAACGACTAAAAAATATTATGCCAGATAATATTTTAGAAAATAATTTGATACCAAATAATTCAAATTTAGATACTGATCTTGATTTTGAAGCATTGAGTGAAGAATTTAATAGAAATACCAGAAGTTGATTCTTGGATAATTTCCAGCAAAATGTTCCTAAACAAATTCAAATAATATGTATAGTGTATAATAATGTTAAACTTATACAATTGAAATTGTATATGTATACATATAATTACACAGCAGTGTAGATATTTTTTATAGAATTTCTGACAGTATCACAATTAATACACTTTAACTTCCATATTTGGACGAAAAATATCAATACTAAAGTAATATAATATCTTATTCTCACTTGTGTATGTAAATAAGACTGTTTCTATTATATTTATTGTGTATAATATATATTCTGTATTTAAAAAGTACATAAAAAAAATCATTTTTATTAGGTAGAAAAATTTCATTGCATTACATATTTTTCAATGTCAAAAAATTTGTATTAGTACACATAAATATTTTTTATTTTTAGTAAACGGTCTTTATAACCATACACATGTGTAGTGAATATTTTTAACTTAAGGTTAATTTGTGAAAAAGATTCGTATGTAATGAATCAAGAAATAAGGAACTAAATCTACTAGAATGATGATGAATTGTATTATAAAATACACGCACTCGTGCACACATTTCCCTAACACACATACACATACATGTAAATATATTTTCTGTAAATATACTTTTCCGTAGTTCTTAGTTATACAAGCAGATGAAAATATAATATCATAATTTGTTTAATTGCAGTACTACAAAAATGATTATGCACAAATTATTTTCTGATTCAATTTTAGCTTTGGGACATACTGATGATTGCATTAATTTTTTAATATTTAATAATATTTACTCATTTCAGCGATTATGTAAAGTGATGAATAAAATAAATTATATTTATATTGTATTAATAATTTCATTATGATTATTAAAAAGAAATGTTGAAAATGAAAAAATATAAAAACATTAAAAATTACTAGTAACTAATGATGAATTGATTTGTCTACAGCTTTTGTATAAAATACTATGAAATTGAAAATACTTGAAATATCAAGAAAATACATAATTCCATCCACACTGTTGAAGCATTTATATATAGCAAAAATAATTAATTTTGTATTTATCTGTAAATATGTATTATACATATATAAAAATGTATTGATACATTTAAAGGTTAATGGTACTAGTAGTATTAGATTAATAATAAACTATAATCAATTGCAATTTATCGTAAATCATATAATTTTACAGACTTAGTTCCTTGTAGTAAAAATACATCTACATTTGCAGCTTGATATGTAATACATTTGTACTCATTTATATTCATACTATTTCTTTGTGATCTCAGGTACCAATACAAATACAGTTTCGTGATTCAGTTAGTATTTTAATTATACATTTCAACTGCATATTTCTTTTTTTCGTAAAATTATATAAATGGTATTTGAAAAGCCACAAATAAATGATCATTCTGTTAATCTTTGTTTTATTTCAATAGTTATAAGTTATGATATACAAAAAAATAATAATTATAAACATGGAATTGTTTTTAAAATAAGAAAATACTTACCGAAATAAATACCAACAATAACTGTAACTATCTGTGTCCAGTTTCTATCAATAATAATTCCAAAGCAGTTGTCACATTTTCTGGTATCGATGGTTGATGCACCCAGGTTGCAAGGAATAGCATTTTCCATGATTCTGTGTAATAATGAGCTACATTTTCCAAGATCTTACGTTTTATTTTTGTTTCTTGAGAATATGCATCATATATTAATTTTGCTATTTGTTCTAAAAGACAAATATATATAAATTACTATGTTATCTCACCACAAAGTACTTCCACAATTATTTAAAAGAATTAATATATGTATGTAATTTTTAGCTTTTGATTAATAAAATATGATCATATATACCAAATTTTACATTGGGCCATGTGATAAATAGTTTCTCCACGCGAGTTTCTAAAGATGCTGTTATTTTTATTTGATGTGCAATTTCACCTAAACTTTTCACAATGTCGTCCTGAGAATAAAGTGTTGTTTATATGGTTTTCATTTCAACACAAGTATATATATTTAAAACATGTTTTACCAGTGCATCACAAATGTTTTCCAATCTATCACATAATTCTTGTAAATCTTGAGGATACGATTCATCTTGTTTCAGTTGTGTTATGGTTTTTAATAACGTTACTCCTTGCAAATGTAATGCATTCCAATTTTGTATATTTCCATGTATATCTGCAGCTAAATCTCGAATGTGACGAACATAGCCAGTTAAATTTTTTCCCTGCCCTGATCTTGGAGATAAAATTTCTACAAATTCATAGAAAGACAAGTTTTTATATATATCTCTCTGTTGTGTATAGTTCTTACAATGCAAATCACTACATTTATTGTCAATTATTTATATTTAGAAGTAATTAATAAATATGTCAGAAGAGAATGAATACTTACTTTGTATGGGTGAAAACTGCTCCTTACTCATTATACTTGTATATGTCTCTTTATTATTAATATAACTTATTGTGATACAATTATATTTCTGTGTTTACAAATACAATATTTGTAAAATAAAGCAAGCACATAATTTAAATATCGTGCTTATGTAATCAAAAATGAAATATAACAAGAAATTTTTAAGTCTATATAAATTAATGTAATTATTATATGTTTAAAATCCTGTGCAGTAATGCGAGATGTACGTGTTCACGGCTACATTTGATATTATATACTCGTCAAACGTGAGAATTGAAGATTAAATTTTGCGTCTATATACAATAATATATTTATAACGAGTTGTGATACCATCTTACTAGTTATTTATTATGAAATGAAGTATTATGGAGAAGCAACCAATGACAATAGTGCTTCTAAACAATCCACTTATAAAGAACTTTAATAATAACAAGAACATGAAATATTATAACATTTTAAATTATAATTTGATTATGTTACCCCGCAAAATACAATACCGATTGTGTTTTCTTTTAAAAAAAAATAATAAATGCAATAAATGCAGAGAATTTGTCTTGCATTTAAAAAAATGTTAAAAGTGTACCATACAGATGGCGCAATAATACAACTTGTGCGGTCAAATTGAATTTAAAACGAAGTGCGCATTTAAAAGAACAAAACCAACATTCAATATTAATCTAATAAGCAGAAATGTGATTGTCCTATTTTTATACGAGAATAAATTTTAAATAAATCATACAATATATAATGTATAATATATTCTTAACCTTAAAAATGTTTGATTTAAAGTTTTAAATTTAAACCTTGCAAATTTTCATTTGCATTCAGATATTTAGGGTGAATAAATATATTTTTTGGCAATTTCCTATACTAAACGAGAAACAAATGTTCTCATTCGGGTCCGTACTTCATATTCCTATTTTATCTATACTCTAAGTCTCTAATTTTATCTACGTCAAATGTTCGCTCACGCGATATCGCGTGCTCGATTTTTACTATTTATTTACATGTGATAGATAGATAGTAAACAAATGTAATAATGCGTTAATCGACAATAGTACAAGTGGCTTCGGTGAAAAATTAAATATTTATTAAAAGAAGTACACAATTAAACAGCAGTCAATTAACTCTATCATCATTCAAGGAAAAATGACGTTGACGTGTAACAAAATGAAATGCAACACAATAGTACATACACCGGTTGTTTCCAGTGAAACCACGAGCCGGATAAAAAACTGAAATAACTTAATTGAAGTCAAGACTACACACAAAAGGAACGTTACACGCGCGATAAGACAAAAGTCTGACACGTCTGTCGGTGCATCGTGTTGGTGTTTGACTTTGTTGCTTTTGTTCGAGAAACGGTCCGGTCGGGGAACAAGGTCACGCAGGTAAAATGGCAGTCGCCACTCGAACTACGACCGCGTCTCGATCATGAGTCCGTGGCATCAGAAATTACAGGAACGCTCGACCGACGGAGAGGAATGAACGAGTTCCCCGCGTTTCGAAACCGTCCTCCAGTTCTCGCGGTCGTGTCTCGCAATAACGTGCCGGCTTCTTCTTGTCGTGGTTTCTCGAGCCTCGACCAATCTGGTTAGGTGTATTCCGGACGAGTCGTCGCGAGCACAATTCCGGTTCTCCCGTGTTCGCGTAAATCTCACCGGTACTGGATCAGAATCGATCAACGCACAATTCGTGGTGAGCTTTCGAGTCGCGTGCAGAGAAGTGAGAAGTTCGTGTTTATGGTACAAACTTGTGGCATCGATTGTGATCTCAGAAACTGGATTTTCGGGATTCAAATTCGGCAAAGTTTTTATCAACGGGTAAGAAAGAAAAGAGGCCCGACCTGTGACGTAACTACGCGGAATGATAATAGATACAGAGGTTAACTGCCTGCGTTCACGATCAGATAAACGGATCGAAATCGTGCCTCGTGTTCGGCAACTCGTATCAAAAGGTGCGCCCAATAAAAAGTTTAGTTGGTGTTCGGTACTCAGTGCGAGATCTTCTCGGTGGCAACAATGAAAATGGAGGTGAGTGTCCTGGACTGGAATCGAGATTTTAATATCCTGTTGAGCGGTTGTTTACGCACTTTCGAAATGTACGATTATTTCCGATCGACAAGTGTACCGTGAGAATTAATCTCTTCTTTCCGTATTCGAGCGCGTAACACCTGACTGACGCTCAAGTGTCACTGTATCGATATTTATGTTTAATATAACGTACCATTTAAATTGATCGATTTATTTTCTTGTCGATATTAGAATTTATCTCATGATTTCTGAAGCATCCATATTCTATTTACGAGATTGCTGTGATAAGCACTGTTATATTTTTAAAAAGACAGTGACGAAAAGACGTCGTGTATCATTTGTCTAAACACAGTTCAAAAATGCGGGAATTTACTCATGCCATCGCGTTGCTCAGAGGACTGGTCAGACGGCTATTCAAATCACTTCGTACGCGATTTTCGAAAGCGAGCATTTGTTTGTATGTAATAATCTTACAATGACAATAATAATGATCTTTATGACAATAACAATAATACAAATATATAGAAATAATATAGTAACAGTAAAAGGATACCAAGACTAAAACTTTATTATAATAAGAGATTACAATTTTTTTGACATGGAACATTGTTTAACAATGTGTAAAAATAGAAAATAGGAACAGGAAAAAGAGTTTGAAATTTGAGTCTCTATTACACCAATGATTTCCTTATATTATTCACCCGGCGAATTCCTGCGACTTTCAATCCGTAGCGGGCGTGAAACGAGATTTCAAGAAAGTAGGATTTAACAAAGGTGTAGTTTCCTTTGAAATACGTGGTATCGATACACTAACGAAGACGTAAAAAATATCACAAAATACAGCAGAAAGTCGACATTTAGATAAACGTGAAATCTGAAAACGTGGAGAGCACAATAAATTTTTAGATGCGCATCACAGAAAAGAAACGATCAAGACGCAAACGCTGATAAACAGCAGCGGTTGCAGTTTGCGGATAAAAGTAATCCAAATGCAAACTCATGGTTAACCTCGTGTCTGCACTTGTACACGTACAGGAAAGAACCGGTATCGTATCTACGTAACAGAGTAATTTTTTTTACACGCGACGAATTATGTAGCTCGTGATTGGACGCCAAGACATAGGTATTCCACGGTGTTCCCGCAAATTGGTCCCGGTTTGAATATTTATCAAATTCCACGGGCTTAATTACTGCGACTGGTTGAGTTGCGTTTCACGGCTACATCGACGTTGTTTAATTTAATTACATATAAGGTATGTGGGTCGTCGTTGCCTGTAAACGTAGTTAGTCCCGTTTCTAAAAGCAGTTCGACAGATGTTTCGATGGTAAAGGTAGAAGAAATTAAAACAGCTGTTGCGCTCTCAAAGGCACCGTTTTCTTAACGACGATGACAGTGTTCGAGGAAAAGGTGCATCCGTATTTTTTTTCAGCATAGCCGTTGATATGAAACCATTTTTTTATTTCTCTTATATTCGTAATAATAGGACACAAATCAATCAGAAAATTGGGATCACAGTTTCTTTATTTTACTTCAAAGTTCAATTGAAGAACTTGTTGTTTAGTTATATTTTTTATGCATATCAGTGGACATGCGGTTTAGTGTCGGAGAAAGAAGATTCTCAAGAGGATCTAGGTCTCAAGCTTTAAAGTTTAACCACCCCAGCAAAAATCCATCGTGAAACTTCCAGTATCAATCGAATAGACTCATCAGAATTTCCGGGATGAAAATTTCACGACCTCAAAATTTGTCGTCCTTCGTCGAAATCGAGCGTGTATCATCGAGCAGGAATTTTAAGTCGGTCATCGATACGGATGAAAGAAGGAAGGGGATGCAGCAAGACTCATGGCTCATTTTTTCTTTCTTTTTTTTTTAGAAAGGAAACAGACACGAGTTACAGTTAAGCAGTCGTACTAGCCGCTGTTCAGTTTTCAATGAGCAGCATTCCTAACTGCTCGAGTACAGCTGCTCACCTGGAAACCCTTCAAGAACTCGTTTCAGTAATATTCGGTTCCTACGCGGAAGTGCGGGTGAAACACCTGAGTGAGCTTGCTTCCTTTTGTGTATCACGAAACCACGAGTTTCTAACCTTCGTGAATATTCGTTGATTATCATGAAAATTCGAAAAATGTGATGTAAGTTCGTACCGGTGATGCGGTGAACTCTTGGAATGATGAGACTGTAAAACTGTGATGAAACCGTGTTTGGGGTGTCTAAGGTAATTGTTACGATAGTGGTTCTAATTATTCATGCCTAACGCATCTTACCCATTTGCATTCAAAGAGATCGTTCTCCTCGCGTGAGAACTTCTCCTAAAGCGATAAAAACGCTCCAGTCGCGTTTCTGTATAATGCAGGGGAACGAACTGAATTTCATGGATGAAAGAAATACTGCGGTTAAAGTACAGTAATTGCTCTACTTAGTGCCTAATTTATAAGCACCAGGGCCTTCAGAGTGTTAGATACTTTGTTAACCTTTCTGTATTGTTCATTTTTATTATCGTATCGTTCGTGCAAATTTGCATATCGAGGAATGCACCGATCAAACAAACTGTTGAACCTAAAGTTCACCTGTGCCGCCGACTCTTCCTTTGTAGGAAGCATAATTACTGTTCACACTTGTGTACATCGTGGAATTCGTCTCGAAATGTATCACAAAGTATCGATAATAAAAATATTACATAAAAACGAATGAAACATTGGATTTCCATACCAGTTCATCACGGAAACGATTCGATCATATAAATGAGTTCTGCGATTATTTCAGCAATTACAAATTGAAAAACAGAACACATATCGAACCGCGAATTACATTAACGCCAGGATGTTATTTATTGACTTCTGAGTCACACAAAACACTCATTGAAGAGAAATTCGCGTTGATTATGTGATCATCGATTGGTAATAGAATTGACCTTGGCTTCTATTCTGTACATGACTTCTTATTTTGAAGCTGTAACATTTAAATTGTGCTCCACAAAATTTTTGAATTTTCAACTACCAAAAGTTTTGGGGAGCAACAACAAATTTGGAGAATGGAAATAGAAGAGGATTTTGGTTTTAATACATCAAAACTCAATAAAAAAAATAACACGTTCTTACTTATTAATAAGTGTCCCTGTTGAAGGGGTGAAAATGGCGTCGCCTAAGCTGGAGTTCAGATTAGGTCAGATCAGATCAGAATCTACTATGTTACATATAAAAATTAGAGTGTATCACTAGAATGTATCTCGTCAATAAAAAAATTAATTCAAATCGTGAATGTATAGTTTCTTTTCAACAAATGTCTCGACCATAACCAATAGTTATCGACTGATATCAATTGATAAGGTCGGATTAAGAACGATCACTGATAAAGCTTGAACTAACAGTTCGGTTGTGCGTTGCAACAAAGTCTGTGGCAATAGTATTCGTATTGTTAGCTAGTGTTCTCCAGCTAGTAAGTTGGAAACAATTCTCATTCAGTTCTCGTTTTACAACGTAAGTTAAATAACACGCGGAACATTGTAACACTGTGACGCAACTGGCCAGTCGACAACAAACGATAGTACACGTGCATCTCATTTCTTCTTTTCGTAAGGGAAGTAATTAAAACTTTCTCGTACGTGTTACATTATATTTAAATAGAAGAGCTTCATATCATACAAAAATCTAACTTTCTAATTCTTCATTACATCTAAATAATACAAAATTGAGATCTCTTGTTCAAATTGTAAACTGTTCAATTGTTTCTCTTGTTCAATTGTAAAATATTATTTTCGTGATCTTAATTCGAGCATGAATTGCTCATAAATCCGTACGAAATTTCAAATATCCATAGCTAATGAAGATCGATCCGCTTTAGAAAACAAATCATGTTTGTGATTCCTTTTTTAATTAGAAGCCTAATTAGCCTTTTATGGCTGTAAAGGATTTGATGGATCACACTGCGTGAATACGAAAACCACGACGGGTTTAATCGTATGGCAGTCGTGTTCAGCTAGTTTTCTGGAATTTACTTCCCGTTAGCGGACGCAAGGTAGCCTGGAATTTGATTCGTCTCGTGGTTTGTATTTTTTTTGTCTCTCCCTACGGACGCGTCTCACCAGGGATCAGGGACCCTCTCGTATCATGTTGAAAGTTCGTAGACCGCGAAGGAAGAAACCGATATTTGGAGTCAGTATCGCTGTTATCGTCAAAGCCTCGGATCGGAAGTTCTTTAATTTCCATCTCAAATTTTCTGACTTCCAAATTTTTCAATTTCTACATTTCCCTATTTTCAAACCTTGGAATTTTCTTCTCAAATATCTACATTTTGAAACTTTTCAAATTGCCCAAATTCTCAGATCAAGTCCCCAGATTTCTGAACCTACAATCCTGAAATTCTGATGACCAGGAAATTTATAAACTTGTATTCTTTATCTCAGCTTCTGGCTAATCGGATTTTATTGTATCGCATACGCAGGCAGAGCATAGGTTGGAGCAGCTGAAGAAGGCCACGGACAGAATACAGAAAGAGATCGAAGAGGTCACGGAGAGGGAGCACGAGCTGAGGAACGTGGGCAGCATTAAAACCACGTCTCACGAGACGGTCGATTCGAAGGTATACGCTTGAAACTCGACATACTCATTGGCAGACGCAACGCAGACTTCTTCTGGATAAGGACAAGTATACGAAAAAGAACGCCCCATCATTCTGATTTCACAAAAATTCCTAATTTCAAAATCCTTTTATCCAACTTCCCAAATCCTCAAGAACTCTAAATTTAATTCTTGAGCGTAAGAACAATTCGGGCCTAAGAAAATCCCATCTTAATAAAGAATATGACAAATAAAACGAGTGGTGGGACATTCCGTGTTCTACACTTTCCCTTACCCCAGAAAAGCTGAAGTTGCACGAGGTTGCACGTTCACACAAACGCGTATATATTCTTGCTCAAGGTCGTCGAATGAAGGAAAGAAAGAGAGTATACGGCTGATGGTGTCCTTATAAGGACGAAATGCATCAGATCGACGTATACGAGATGTCCGTGAACGACGAGGACGATTATACACGCGGTTACTGATTTAATGATTCACGACTCGTACAGTATTTCAATCTTGTTTGCCGCGTGACGTGAATTTCATTTTTATTCTTTAAAAAGATAGTTACCATTTCGCGTATCGCAACATCTCGCGAACGGTTCTTCTTTTGAGATCTTTATTTAATGTAGTTCGAAAGAAATAGATGAAAAACATATTTATTTTGTTTATAAAATGATTGTGGATTTCGTTATTGAACAGCACTTTCGTCGTGTCACGTTTTTGATAATACGACCGCTGAATTATAATTTTAACGTTGCACTATTTCACATAAATTAATTACACCGTGAAGTAATCGAAACTTCTTTCGAATACTTTCGCAAGCTATTTGAGTTCGATTTTCATAACACGGCAAGATTTCGATGGAAATATCTTATCTGCCGATACGTTAAAGTACATAATGCAGTTTACCGCGAAACTGTCCTGTTCATGTGTGACGTGGCCATTGTCGCCGATAATAATGATTAGAAATGCAGTATTTCCCGTAATCTATGTTCTCGAAGAGTCTATAAGTCACAAAGGTTGTTTTATTTACGTGTTGCAATTATCTCGTATATATTCGTTTCAAGGTATAAATAACTAGTTCAAATAATTAATAATAATTATCGTATGGCAGGTACGACGAATGCCGCAAGCTCTAACGTCAGGCAAATTGAAAAGAACAACATCCACGCCGCAAATCCTGGAAGCAGTTAGTCTAACATCAACAACACCACCTTTAACGCCAAAGATGACGAATGGAGTGATATCCAGTCGCACAACGCCGACACCTTTACGTTTCGCGACAGCGCCCAGTCAAAAGGGGTTGATGCACAGGTACCTATTCTTTAGAAAATTTGGGAACCTGTTTGTGAAACATAAAATATATCATTTTGCAGGTTTCTGGCCACACGAGGGAAAATTTACAAACCAAAATTACCTGTTAACGATACGCTAACACCACCTACGACACCCACCATCACATTGAATCCTTTGAGCATCAAGGCTTTCAACAAGAGCCTAGAAATTCAACTTGAACCTGATGATGAACCTAAGAAACCTCCAGTCAGAAAGGGATACGTTCCGGTGGAAGAAAAAATACAAAAAGAACTGCATGAAATGAAAGAGCGAGAAAATGAGCTCAGGTGCGAATGTTTAATAAACAAAAGGGTCTATGATAGGTATACATATAGGTATACATTGTATTTTAACTGTATATTATACGGCGGAGTCTTGCTATATGGCCTCTGTATGGAACTAAAGCAATTTTTAAATTTATATAACAACGTGCATGTAGCGAGACTCCACTGCATATTATATTTATTGTTTAATTTATCTTATAATTATGCGTTACCGGATCGAATGTGTCATCGAGGTAAATTATGATAAGTACACGGTATCTTTATTTGTTTAATGACACAAAATAATGATTATTTGTATCGACTCTTAGATTAATGCGGTCGCAAATGTTGGCGAAATCACAACCGAATCTGCTAGATATTGGAAATGATAATGATTCGGATATTTATGATGGTTCGAGCTCCCTAAGAAGTGGCACCTCATCTAACACTTTAAACGAGGACGAAGTAGAAAGGGAATCTAAAGCAAAACACAAGGTATAAAGATATTTTTACAACGCGGTTTAAATAAAAATGTGATACGTAGATATTTATAACATGTCTTGTGTGTATTTATCATGTTGTTACAATGAAGTATTAAGTTGAGATATCTCAAAGTGATATGTATCTTTGATTATTTTCAGCCTAATCCACGACGTCGAAGCACTCTTATCGCGCAGTGGGAAAATCTGATAGCCGCAAAAAAGGAGTCTAATGATAATAATAATGAAAACGATTTAAATTTTTAAAGCGATTATATTTTGTGAAAACTATACAAATTAATGTCATAGGTTTTTATATTTTATATTTTCCTGAAGTTGTTTCATATGAATGAATGGCATAATATCCTTAATTCTTAAACACCATTATTGAAGAAAATGACATTAATATCATTGGTGAAATTTTACTTCGGTTATTTCAGTTTTTTATTTTAAAAGTCAAAAAGATAATAAAAAAAAAAAAACAGGTAAATGTTGCATGCAAAGTGAAATTTCACCCATGATGGTCTTTAAAGAATTTTGTCTTTAAAGAATTATGGTCATCAAATGAATTTGCTACAATAGGTTTTTCATTTTTGAAATATATTTTATGCCAATTCCTATTGGTTTTGTTTGTCTACTCAATGTGTGTACTAATTTATTTAACAATATGATAAATATTTATTCAAAAGTGAAAAATTTACCTGATTAATTATACACTATATTTAATGTTTTCTAGAAGCTTTCAGTATTAAAGAGTAAGCTACAAGTTAAAGTAAAACTACCCCTATTATTTTTAAGTATTACAAGCATTTGTATTTGATATATTTGCTTGTTAATTGTAACATATCTATTATTATATTATATTGGGGTTTCTCTAAGATTCTCCTTCAACATACAATGGCCTATAAGAAAAAAAAGCATTATGTACTTAATCAATTGTAAAGAATAATTATATGTTTGATTTATTTGCATATGTGATAGTCTAATTTTAATAGTAAGGATAAAAAAACTAGTTTGTGCAATCATTATTGAGTTAATAAGATGTGTATGTTAAACTGTGTATTCTTTATTTTCTCCTAAATACTCAGAGTTCGCTGTTCTATTTCAACATAAAAAATTAGACATTTCATTTAAAAAATACAATTGACCTCTTGACTTTTCCTACACCTCTGTTCCTGTAGTTCAATTTTTTCACGAACTCAATTCATTTTGAGGTTAATTGAGTTGCGCAAAAGAATCCAATCAGACACGATACAGAATAAATAGTGACGTCTGTCCTCGTTGATCCACGTGCTTTCAAGTGTCATATAACAACTATGGATATTTCAAATAAAGAGAAAATAACAGATGAAAGATTTGAAATTTCATTACTAACAAATTTTATTAATGATGAAGGTAAATAAATGATTATAAAATGATGCATTTATATATGAAATAGGTTATACTTTGTCCCTTATGTACAAATCTAACCAAATCATTTTCTTTCTTTTAGCTGATGAAATGGCACACTGTATGAAAAATATATTAAATGGGCAATATGAAACTGTCATCAATGATGAATTACCTTCAAATTTGCTAAAAACACTATCTAATAGTGATGACTTTTATAAAATAGTAAATGATAGTATAGAAAATGAAGACACACATAACTTGTGGTTTCGTGTTGGTGTAGCTTCTTTATTATATTTTATTCAATGTAATTGGACAGGTCCAGAAGTAAATAAAGATATTAAATGGTTACAAGTTAGAAGAGAGAATGCATTTAAAGATTTATCCTTGCATGATGAATGCAATACAAATGTAAAAATGCCAGAACTTCTTTATTTTTCTAAGATAATATTTTCTAACAAATGTTTACAAAACACTTATCAGAGCTGTATTTGGTGGTTATTTAGAGTTAAACTTTTACATCAGTGTATATTAAATGAAAATTCTGGTGTAATTTTTAATGAGGCAGAAGAACTAATCAGTGAAATTAACAATTCATCATTATTAAAGCATCTCTATTGTAAAACCTTATTTTATATTGAAGCTGCACAGTTTTATTTTTATTATAGAAGAATTCAACAATCAGAAAAATATGTTGAATTAGCTATTGAAACAGCAAAACTTAATTTAAAATTAGAAGGTTTATTGGGTAAACGTACAAAATATCAACAGGAAGACAAGGCTCAATTGTTTTTAAATGTGGAACTAGGAAAAAATAAATTTCCTTCTAAAAATTGTGAGCATTTGCCAAAATCTTTAGATTTAAATGATGAGGTCAGATTGGAACGTATCCAGTTTTCTGAAAATACACAAAGTATACAGTTGGGATCGATAGAAGAAGCAATTATATTAGCAAAATAGTAAGATTCTATATCATACTTTATTAAATCATTAATTGAAATAAATGTATTTCCTTACAAATTTTACTTTTAATAGTATTCAATTGCAGTTATCACAACCAAAAGATAAACTAACAGATGAAGAACTGAAACCCTATTTGACTGTAAGTATTATTATCTGCATTAGTTTTAAATTGATAACTGAAAGTGATTGTTTCATAGGCAGTAATAGATAGCACAAAAAATTGGTGCTTAAAAATGGCTTCTTTTTATTATCGGTGTGTATTGGAATCTACTGATAAAAGAGCCATTGAACGGTCAATGATGCAAATGGAATACTTGATACATGAATTAAAAGATACAAAAGTATCTGTTACAAATAGAATGGACATGTTTTTTGCAAGTGGAATTAAACCAATTTGGGTTTTGGAACAGATGTGGGCACAATTAATGCTAAGTCTTGGATTAGTAAAAGGAGCTTTAGACTTGTTTTTAAAGCTAGAATTATGGGAACAAGTTATTGCTTGTTACAACATATTGGAATTGAAGCACAAAGTACATTTTTAATTTAGTATTAAACATATGTATACAATGAACAAGTTTATATTTATTTAATAATTTTAGGCAGCAGAAATTATTCGCCAAGAATTATCCAAAAAGCCAACAGTTCAGTTATGGTGTTTATTAGGTGATGCAACACAAGATCCCATTCATTATGAGACTGCATGGAAATTGTCTAATGAAAAAAGTAGTCGAGCTCAAAAACATTGGGGATTCTTTTATTTTGCAAAAAAAGATGTTAGTGCATAATTAATTGCTGCATTATTGCATATTATACTGTCGTTTTGTAATTATTTAATTAAGTACATTTTAATGTTATATTTTTTAGTATGAAGAAGCTATACCGCATTTAAAATTATCAGTTGAATTAAACAATATTCAGGAAAACGTTTGGCTTAGACTTGGTTTTGCTGCTTTAGAAACGGAAAATTGGAAGTTAGCAGTAACAGCATATAAACGTTACTGTGCTCTAGAACAATCGGTTTGTACAATAGTTTAAAAATCCTAGTTTACCATTAAGTATTTAAAAATGAAAAATTCTCTTAATCAATTATAGACATTTGAAGCATGGAATAACTTAGCAAAAGGTTATATAAAACTTGGTGATAAAGAAAAAGCTTGGAAATCACTCCAGGATGCTATAAAATGCAATTATGATCGTTGGCAAATTTGGGATAACTTGATGGTTGTTAGCATTGATTTGGGACATTTTTCAGAAGTAAGATAATAGCTCCAAGAATGAAATTATTAAACTTACTCTATTAAAAATTAAGTACTTTTATATTTTGTTCTGAATTTTTATAGGTAATTCGATGCTATCATCGCATTTTAGATCTCAAAAATCATCACTTAGATATTCAAATTCTTGATATACTAACCAATGCTGTATTAAACAATGTAAATGATTCAGAAGGAAATTCAATACAAAAGTTACTTCCTAAGATTTTAGAATTGTTTGGAAGAATTACTTCCTTTGTACATAATAATTCAGATGTTTGGAAAATGTATGGACAACTTACTGCTCTTAAAAAAACGGATATTGATGATGAAAAAGCAGCGCAGTATTTGCAGCAAGCATATCGAGCTGCTGTTTCAGATTCTAAATGGTTTCAACGAGAAGAATCAACCATAAAAACGTTGCAGTTATGTTGTACATTAGCAGAAATGTATTTACACTGTGCTTCCAATTCTGAAGTTAAGAAAAAGAGAACATTATTAGCAAGTGCAAAGTTACCTCTTCAAAGTGTTGCAAAGAAAGTTAAAGATCAAGAATGGAACAATGAACAGATTTTTACACATTTACAAAAAATTGAAGAATATTTAAGTACTATAATAACTGAGTTAGAACAAGTAAAGTTACAAAATTAAATGTGTATTTTAAATTTTGTACAGATTTTCGTACCATGTACGTTAAATTAAGCTGTAAATAAATAACTTTCTGTATATAGTTTTGTACATTTTTATATCATGAGGAAAAGAAAGGAATCGCTGCAACTACAGTTGTATAAGTTCGATTATGTTAATTTGATATTTCGACAGAAAGTGATACTGAGGTCACAACAAGCGCGTTTTAATAATAATTGATCCCATCGAAGTAGTAATTTCTATCAATATATTATATTAATGTCATACGTAAAGAGGTCTCTTTTATCAATTAATACTTAAAAATTTTAAAGTTACGAGATATATGTTGTTCTTAGGAGAGGTATTGTCGATGACCTTGATCTTATCATATTTTATATTATCTATGGTTATAAGGTTTCTATGTTTGTCTAACAAATGAACAAATATCATAGGTAATTAAAATAACTCTATTCAGCAGAATTGCAAATTTCCGTAACTACATTTTTAAAATTTGACAATATAAGATAAATTTTATCCTTCTCTATCCCATACTTTATCTGCGTTTTATTTTGCGGTAACCTGCTTAAGAGGAAGGGATGCGGAATGGAATAAACCCGGCTGGACGTAACAGTTTCATTTCGTAGTTCAACGAAAATTGCGAGTCACATAACGATCTAATCAGATTTTTTGAGATACTTTATTGAATATATTTAGAAATCTTTTTATTTTTACAGTAATTATTTTTGTACAAAGGTAAGCTAATCGTTTGTTGTATTTTATTTATAAGGATTATAAATTAAAAAAAAAATAATATATTGTACAGAAATTTTACAAACTGTAATTTGTTTTTAACTAAAAAGAAACAAAATTTGTTATGCAGACCAATTTGAATTTTAAATAAAATTGATACAGGAATGTGTATATTTGAAAAAATTGTTAATCATTGATGTATTTGTCTTAGATGGCATTTAGTGGAAAAGTTGTGCTAATAACTGGAGCCAGTTCTGGAATTGGAGCAGCAGCAGCAATACATTTTGCTCAACTTGAGGCATTGTTAGCCTTAACAGGTCGTAATGCACAAAATTTAAAGGCAGTTAGTGAAAAATGTAAACCTAACAAACCATTTACAATAACTGGCGAATTAACTAATGAATCCGATGTTAAAAATATTATTGACTCTGTTATTAAACATTATGGCAAATTAGATGTATTAGTTAACAATGCTGGCATATTAGAAAATGGAAGTATAGAAAATATTACATTAGATCAATATGATAGGTATATATTTATTCTTTGTAAAGGTTAAATTTTATGGAAAGGTATAAGAATAACATACAAACTTTGCAGAGTATTTAATATAAATGTACGTGCAGTAATGCACTTAACAATGTTGGCTGTTCCACATTTAATACAAACTAAAGGTAATATTGTAAATGTGTCAAGTGTAGTTGGAATAAGAGCATTCCCAGGTGTTTTAGCATATTGTATGAGTAAAGCAGCACTTGATCATTTCACAAAATGTGTAGCTCTTGAACTTGCACCAAAACAGGTATGTATTATATTATATTTTTTAATATCATTATTTTAAGATGTTTGCATTGTATGTACTATTTTATTTATAGGTACGAGTAAATGCTGTAAATCCAGGTGTTGTAATAACAAATTTGCACAAATCTAGTGGTATGACAGATGAACAATTGAAGAAATTCTTTGAATATTCCAAAGAAACTCATCCACTTGGCAGACCAGGCGAATCTTCTGAAGTTGCTAAGGCAATTGCGTTTTTAGCAAGTGATGATGCCAGTTTTACTACAGGTGTATCTTTGTCTATAGATGGAGGAAAACATGCTATGTGCCCTCGTTAAAAATTATATTTGTACACATTATAATGTACACAGTTTGCTAACTGTTATATTTTCTAATATATAAAAAACTATTATTTATTAATAAAATTGATTATTCAACTTTGTGTTATTCTGTATCATTTAATTTTAAAGTGCACTATATTAAACCAAATTGGTAAATTGGTAAGTTAAATGGATTCTTATTGCAAATTTGTAAATATTTAAATACATACATGCTAGTGCAATAGCTCTACTACAATTTCATCATGCATAAGTCAAATACATATAATTGCATGTTATCTCTTATTTTGCTTGTATGCATTCATTTTTTAATGTGAACGTAAATCTTCATTACTCAGATATCAATTATCAGGACAGTACGAGGTATAAATCAAAAATTCACTGATAAACCATACTGTAGGTTTAGTCAGGTTTAGTATTTGTTAGTGAAACAAGGATCCGGACATAAAATTCGGTATAGATTTTGTGGAGTAATTGATTTTTATTGCATAAAATTAAAAAGTACATTACATTACATTATTTAGAAAAACATTTACACATTATACAAATAAATTTAAACGAAAAAATATGTAAACAAGCTGTATACCTACGTCATATAACCAAATCTTTATCTACTTTTAAGACTATATATTATGAATCATTAGAAACACGGCAATAGTAACTCGTTAGTACGATACCAAAATTCATTATGTGTACCAAAAACTTACCGTATTTTTTATCTGGATTGGTGGTTAGAGGTTTTGGCAGAGGTTCTAAAGCTTTAGGAATACCAACAGGTAGAATTTGAAATTAAAATTTTATTCAATAAATTATATGATTTGTTAATTAACAAGAAAACGATAATTATTTTAATATTACAGAAAATAGTCTAGGATCTTGTAATTAAACAAAAATATTTATACAGCGCGTGCGTATTGGCGGGAATTTCGGAATATATATAATCTTTATATATATATTTATTGTTTTATTACTTATTCGTAATTGTGCACAAATTAAGTGCAAATGTGTTATTTGACCAATTGATTTTACGTAAAAATTTGTCAAACATCACATTGTATATAAAAGAATAATGTATATTTTTTTTTAATATTGTTATTTTTTCATAGCAAATCTTGAAGATAAGGTAGTTAGCACTTTGCCTGATAATTTTAATACTGGGGTTTATTATGGATGGGCTTCTGTAGATGGAAATGTTCATAAAATGGTTGCAAGTGTTGGTTGGAACCCATTTTATAAAAACGAAAAAAAGACAGTGGTATGAATACGAACATGTCTTATTATATTATTCAACACTCAATATTTCAAAATAATTAGTTCTTAAAAAATATTATTATTTTAGGAAGTACATTTGCTCCATAAATTTGAAAAAGATTTTTATGGAAGTCAAATTAAAGTAATTTTCTTAGGTTACATACGACCCGAGCAAGATTTTACTTCCGAAGGTAAGTAACAACAATTAAAAAAAAAAATTAAATTACATAATTTTCTCTTTTAGGAGAATTAATTAAGGCAATAAAAAATGATATTGCCTTTGCTGAACAACAACTCCAGCAGGCAGACTTAAATGCTTATAAAAATGATAAATATTTTACAGAATAATAATATATATAAATGTTTATATTAAATTGCATACTCTTATACAATTTATATTTTATTATTTTAAACGTCGCGTAAAATTTATTTGTTAGACAATATGTGACAGTATTAGAATATGTAAATTTTATGAAAGTAAATTCAACATGAATAATATTGATTAGTAAACTAAATGATTATCAATTTTTACAATTATTTGTAATGTATTCATAGAATAATATTTATACATTTATCTATACTAAAAAGTATGAGATAAATAAATATACAAAATTATTTTTATATATGTAGCTTTACAAAATAAATTATAAGATTATGAATGTTTAATTCATATCTGATGGTGGTGGTGTTGTTGTTGTTGTTGTTGGTAGTGGAGGAGGAGGAGGTGGTGGTAAAGGTACCCATTGCCAGGGATTGATAGGATTTTGGCATCTTAAATTTGTAGAGGAATTAGGACGATTTTGGAATGATAAATATCCTGGAGGAATTCTTGGAGGTAGATTATGATTGATGCTATTGACATATTGCATTGATTGTAATGAAGGTGCTCCATATCCATATTGCTCATTATTTTCTGAATGTAAATTTTGTGGCCAATTGTGATAATAAGGTGGCCATACATTTTGTGGTCGATTTCCAACTTGAGCAAAGGAAAATTGGTTACTATCTCCTCGTGGATAATACCCTTTTCTATTTCTTTGTGCATTCCTATTCCATGGATGATTCGATTGCCAGCCAGAGGTAGGATCTAAAAATATGAATATTATGTAAATTCTCAATTACATATGTATATTATACAGATAACTTACTCGAAGTACGTTTACGTTTATGTGGAACATCAGTTTCACTCGAATTATTTGTTTGTTTTGCCTTCAATTTTTCATAATATGCTCGTTCTTCCTCATCATCTGAAAATTCTGGTGGTTCATCTGCTGTTGCATCAATACCTTTAATTCTGAAATGATTACACATTGTTAAGTATATATGAAGTATAGATTATAAAGTATACCTAGTATAATAAAAGTTATTTAGACTTACTTCATTACTTCATGCAAGAATACCAAAGAAGTATATTCGGTATTAGGACAGTAATAAACAGTCATTCCTACTTTAATATCACATTGTTGTATATGTTCAGAACTATTGAATCGTACACAGTAATGGGGCTCACTCACTTGTCCAAAAACATCAAATATTTTACCTAATGCTCTTTGTCCTCTATCAACAAATAAAACTGTATCCAAATTTAATGTTGGTTTACCAGGTTTTGGTTTCACGACTACTAGTTGTTCAACCATCCATGCAACCTTAAATTTTTATTTGTTTTATAAGGTAACTTTATTAATTACTTGATATCTTTCAAATGTTAATAATTAATAAATACCTCGCCTAATGGATCACACAATACTTCAGGAACACTAATTTTTAATTCTTCAATTGGTGGTAAATAATCTAATTCACTCTTCATTTCATTGTTTTTCTGCTCTTTCGTATTATTTTTTGAACTTTTTCTAAAAGTTTAGGAAATCATTCTACAGTTTTCATGATAACTTAATGTAATATTATGTCAAAGCTTATAAGATAACTTACTTATTTGTATTGTCATCACTATCTGATTCATCTGAAGCAACTGATGCAGCGGAGCTGCTGCTGCTACTAGTAGAATCATCTTCATCCTCACTGCTTTCACTTAATAACATTTCTGTGTTTTGTCTATAAGTTTCCATTTGCATCTTTTTTGAAGTTATGCTTTGGTTATCTTCAAGTATAGTTACATTAGAACCATCTTCAATTTCTGAATCTGAATTATATTCTACAGCAATACTACCCAGAGAAGATACCTTATCATTTGCTGGTTAAAAACAATAATAAAATTTAATACTCTTCAAGAAAAAAAAATAGATGTAAATTATGTAAAAAAATATATTTTATGTTCTTACTTTTAGCTGGTGTCGTAAAATTTTCCTCATGAACAATGCTAACATCATTATTTTCCTGTTTTAATTTTTCACTTGATGTAGATTTATTTATGCTTGAATTTTCCAACAAAAAATAATCCCTATTTTGAGTATGTTCTTTACTTTGCGGTGAAGATGATGTTTCATTAATATCTGTTGCAATATTATTTTTTTCTACATTTAATAATTCGGTACATGATTTGTCACTTGAATTTTTGTTTATAATTTTATCGACTATAACCTCATTAGTATCCATTGTAATTATATAAAATTTTTGTTCAATTTACAGTATTTTATTCAGTAATAATTATTCGCAACAAGAAATTTCATATTAAAGCACAACTATGCTACAAAATATTTAGAATAATGATTTCCTGCATGTAAATTCGCAGTGCAAGTAACCACGTGGATATACGCTTTATTTGACGAGAAAACCTCAATCGTTCTGCGCAAACTCGACCGATTCAGAACTTGTCTTCAGATGATAATTTAGGAATTTGCAGATTTATATAGAAATATAGAAATATTTAATTGTTTTTCTTTAATTGATATCGAATGTATTGAATTTTATAAAAACTTTGCAGGATAAAGAAACACGTTTGTATAGTAAAAAGTAATTTATACATTTATTTAAGTTTACACTTAAAAATTTGTCACATTGTTTATATGTATAGCAATTTTAATTACATTGTACATTTACTTTTTTGTATGATAATATCACAATCATAACATTTTTCTATAAGCAGTTAATTAATATTAAATACATTTATAATATATTACATTCTATTCTCTTGTTATTACATTTACAATTGTTTGTATAATTTTTTTCCCGTTTTGATAATTTAAAAGATTTAAAAGTGGATCTTTCATTTTTTGTTCCAATAATTTGGATAATTCTATTCTCACTCTTTGTAGAAGTTGAGCCACCTATATGAGACAAAAACAGTGTTTGAGATACAAGTAAAATTTTTCATTCAAACTTTTCTATAATACTAATATCCTTACCCTATGTGATTCAACACCAAGTAAAATCCAACCATCTTCTAATGACACAATAAATATCCCATTATGTAATTCTATATTTAACTCATAACCAGAAAACAAAATTAACGATAAATGTGGTACCATTGAAACTTCTTTGATAAATACTTTGCTTGTTTTAATTTTCTCCTGAAATACTAAATATGGACTGGGGAAATGACCAGTATGAAAGTTGACAGAAGATGGATGAATATTGACGAAACCGTCATTTTTAGTTTGAAATCTAAGTTCTTTAGCCTTTGGTTGCATCGGAACTGCTCCGACAGATTGTACTTGAAAGGATTTTTCCGGGGTAAAAACTTTAACAACATTGGGGTAAAGAGCTGCACAAAGCAAACCTTGCAGAAGTTTATAATTGTCATTGTTGACATTAAGTTCAAATCCAGTAATTTCCAAAATTTTATCAACACTTGGCTGACGTTTAGGTAAATCAATAGGAATAAAACCAAACGAAACTAATAATTCTAAGAATTGATACTTTATATCTGCTAAAGTATGTAGTGTACGCACAGATAAATAGTTTTCATTAGCAAAAGCTTGACCAGCATTATTACTGCGTGCGCATGCTTCAAACCATTTCTGTCAAATGAATTGAATAAATATTAATATCTTTTTCATACTATAATTAATATTTCTACATATATATGTTTACCTTATAAGCTTTAAGAATAGTTAACTGATCAGAATTAGCTGTAATAAATTCCTTCTTAATGTCAATTCTATGTCTTTTATCAAATGGTATATTGAATGGATTTTTGTAAGACAAACAGGCTGCAATAGTAAGTGCGGAATCAAGGCAACAAAAAATTGCTCCAAATAATATCAATTTTCCAATCCTAATATTTACAGGTAACATCGCAAGATGATGACCTAATGGTGTTAATGTACATTCAGAATTAAATGCACCAACATCTTGTAAGCGTTTGATCGCATTACTAATGCTTTCAGTTGTTGGTGGTTCTAACATTTTACCTGAAAATAAAACGATTAATTTTCACATAAAAATAACAATAAAAGTATAAACAAAAAGGAAATAATTGTTATTACCTAGAATTTTGTGAAAGTCTACTTTTTTGCCTTTGTGTAAAAGTTGGATACGTAATAATAAAGGCTCTAAAGGAATTCTTAATATTTCAGGTACTGACTGGGCTGTAAACTGGTACTTGAATCTAAAAAAAGAATATTTTCATCAAATTAATTTACTTCTGTAAATTAGAATCTGTTGCTTGTTGGAAATGTCTAAAAAATTATATATACTTGTACGAAGTATAAAGATGAATACAAATTCCGGACATTACACGTCCAGCACGACCTTTTCTTTGTAGCGCATTCGCTCGTGATACCCAGCATGTTTCTAAACTTTCTATGTTTTGATTCGAATTGAACCTGGTCTCTTTCATTTTTCCACTATCAATTACAAATACACAATCATCTATAGTAATAGATGTTTCAGCTAAATTTGTACTTAGCACAATTTTCCTAACATCTCCAGTTCTTTTAAAAACTAAATTTTGCTCTTCATTTGATAGAGATGAATGTAACGGTATGATAATAAACTTCCCCGTTTTTGGTGAAAGGTATTTATTATCATTCAATAGGTCTTTCAATGAAAGAATTTCAGCAAATCCAGGTAAAAATATCTAAAATGTAATAGTAATGCATAGTACATATACAAGTGTGTAAATATACAATTTATGCTCTTAAAAGAAAATGTACTTACTAAAATGGAACCCGTTTTTGGATAATCATGTTCTCCAAAAATAATCCATTCTAATATTGATTCTATAAGTTCAAAATTTATTTTATCATGATCCATAACATATAAATTTTTATGCGTTTGTTTATTATAGCCCTGATATCTACAGACTATTTGCGTTAACGATAAATTTTCGTCCTGAAGAGACTCTCTAGGCACAGGAGCAGAAGGACCTTCAATTTCTGCAATTTCTAAGTCCGTTTGCAATTGCATCCAATCACCTGTAATTTTCCGTGTAAATTTGGAATTTTCTTCAAGTATATAATTTATCTTTTCAAGTATATCTTCTAAAAAAATTTGCTCAACAGGAAATGTCTTCCCCGGTATATGTAAAATAGGAGCTTCTTTGAAGTATGAAGAAAAGATTTCTGGTTTAAGTGTTGCGCTCATAAGTATTACTTTTAAATTTGAATTTTTTGATAATAAGTCCTTCAACAGCATCAACAAAAAGTCGCTAAATAAAAAATAACCTAGTTAGATAGCTAGATAAAATTTAAGTAAAAAATACTCGAATTTGAAATCACTTACCTTTCCGCACTTCTTTCATGAACTTCATCTACAATAATATGTGTAACATCAGTTAATTCTGGATTCAAAGATAATCTTTGCAACAAAATTCCAATTGTACAAAACGTTAATCTCGTTCTGCTAGAAATTTTGCTCTCCAGTCGTATTTGGTATCCTACTGTTTCACCTATTTGTTCATCTCTTTCTGATGCAACTCTTTCAGCTACTCCTATTGCACTAATCCTTCGAGGTTGTGTACATATTATATTAATATGTTCTCTAGATTCAGATCTATTAAGAATCCAATCATCTAATAAAAATTGCGGTACCTGAAAAATTATTTAATTACTTGTATTAACATACAAGTTTTGTATAAAACCTATTATTAAATTCGTTATATCCTGATTACCTGTGTACTTTTACCACATCCTGTTTCACCTGAAATTATAATAACCTGATTGTTATGTATCACTTCTAAAATGTAATCCATCTTAGACCAAGCAGGCAGTGTTTTTCTAACTTCTTTCATCTTCTTGTATCTGTGATTTGTTTGCTTTTCTTTAAAATTTTTTTGAATTAAATTATTTTCTTTCAGTGTTTCTTCCCATGAAATGTTATCTCTAGTTTTTCTACTGATAGAACCTAATTCATGATGCATAACTGTATTTACATCATTTTCATTTTCTAATTGCTTTGGAAATAGTAATTCACTTTGATCTAAGAATTGTTCTTTATTTTCTTCCAAATATTCTTTTATCTCCTGTTCATTCTCCAAAAGAGATATTACTGAAAAGATGGAAGGAGTTCCATCTGCAGATAATGATAATGCTTCATCATACAGTCTTCTTACTATCCTTAAGCACTTTATACTTGGAAATGTACCATTATTTTTATAAAAATAGAAATATGGCGGATCATATGGGTATTTACAACCTGACATATTAAAGACAGAATTATTAAAACAGAACATTTAAAGCATTACAAATGATAAAATGATAAATACCTTCAGGAAACCTTATTTCTAAGGTGAAGTATGGATCTTCCCTTTCTGGCATTTTTAATACTTGTGGTTGTTGATGCAAAAATCTACATTTATTACCAAATCTACATTTTTTATGAATAAATAATCTACAAACTTCCCTCTCCTTTTCTTTTTTTTGTTGTTGTTTGATCATTTTAATTTCTTGTTCTATTTTATCATTTCTTACTAAATAATCTAATTTAACTTGCACAATCCAAATCTGATTTCTTATTTTTTCTACAAACATATCTCCATAAATAGATTCAAGTGCTTCTTTTTCTTCATTTTGCTTCTCTAATAAATCTGTTGCATCAATATCCTCAAGTATCTTATTCTTTGGAATATTTTCAAGTCCATAATATTTATAAAATAAAATCTCCAAAGACTTCCCCACGTTACCTTCTGCATGCATCAATGCTTCAACACAATGTGATTGATGAAAACTATAAATAAAATAACAATATTTATAATATGTATACTGCAATTATTAATATTATTTAATATTTACCCATAACTTGTAAGTTTAGTTGTTGCAAATTGTCTAGTGATTTGTTCTTGAGTTTTAGGTGTATCATCTTTGGACGAATAATCGACTATTTCTTTGATAACTAAATTACCTCTTTCCATCCAATATTGTTTGCTCAAGTTTGATCTCTTGTCCTCAAATTCTGATGCACTGGAAAGTTTAAAACTCTATTCCAAAGTAATATTATTTTTTAGCAACATATTTCATAGAAAAATATATAACAATGAATTTAGAAAGTTTATCCATAGTACATACAGAACCATAAATCTGTTTCAAAGTATCAAAAAGCTGTCGTTCAGACTCTTCCGATATTCTTAAAGTTTGCATTTCCACTTTAAATTTGTCCGATCCATGAAAACTATGGCTTTTGGCTTTATTTTTTCCTGATGAATTTCTGTTAAATATATATGAATCTATTTAACTCCAAATTTTAGCATTTTAGCAATTACAATGTATTGTGCAAAATTATAAAAATATACGTTATGTATTTCATGAAATTATGAACAACTAAATTTTTAACTTACGTGACATTTGTTTCCAAATTTCCTTCTAACGTAATATCTTCCATTAATTGAATGCTATTATGATCCATTATTTAACACAGAATGTAAACTTGTATAAATAAATGTAAAAATATTTTGTTATAATTTCACTGGGTATTTATGAAACGTTGAGGTTAACAAGCGTTAAACGAAAATATAACGAAAACAAATATTCAGAAATATATAAACGAATTCTGTCTATTAAATTCCTAATAATTTCATTTTATTTAACATATTGAGGTACCAAAGTGTCAAAATCTATTTATAACGTTAATATCTGTTTTGTCATTTCAAGAAATAATATTAAAGCTTGAAAAAAATAAATAAATATTTATTATAGTTATTAATTTATTTAAATATACTGTATTATCTTAAACAATTCATGATTTATTTTCAATCGGATAAATAACTGCTTTGTTATAACCACAAAGTAGTAAAAGATTTCCTTGAGGATGCCATCGAGCATCCAATGCCGTGATATTTCGCGGAGTTGGTATACACCTTGCGCTATGCGGTGTCCATTCAAACATGTATGCGCACTCGCAGAATACTAGAAGTTGAGTACGCGTGCAATTCCACTTCACAGCTAAACAAACGAATACATTATAATTAAAAATTTGTATAAAAATTAAAATAAAAGTTAGCAAAATTTAAAAATACCTGTAATGTTATTTTCAAGAAGTAAATAATCGAGGTAATCGTCAACAATATTCCATATCCATAAAGTTGTGGGATAAAGTTGGTGTTTTATAGCCAAATATTGTCCGCAAAAACTGAATACTAAAATATCAAATTTTGCAACTGAAAGTCTGTCAATGTTACTTTTATTGCCAATTTTTATATTTATTGGTCGTTCCGATTTCTCTTCCACTGTAATCATTTATTTTCTATTAGTGATAATTATATGAACTTTAGCGATGTAGTGCAGTTTCGCTATATGGCCCCGCACACATGCGATTTACGGGTTATATAAAAAAGCCATATAGCGAGACTCCACTGTATGTTATAAATTCTTATTTCTATAGTATTACTTACAAACATGTTTATCATATAAACTATTTTTATTTGATTGTACTGTCACTTCTTTGTATACCTTATTCAAATAATTTTCCTTAATCACTGGATCTAGGTATAATTGTAAAAGCGGTTTCCATGTTACGTGATTTAATAATATGATCTGCATAAAAATTGACGATGAAATAAAAATTTAAGTTATTTATTAACCATGTATAAAAAAATAAAAACGTGTACCATTTCATTAAACCCTGCTACAGCTAACAATTGTCCACTAGGCATCCACGTTACATTTTCAATTCCTTTTAATTGTTTTTGATAAGTGTATCCTATTTCTGTTGAATTTGTAACTTGTGGAGGGCAAAATATCGCGATATCTCTTTCCAATTTATTAGAATAAATAAGTAATTTGACTTCGTTACTAAAGGAACACCATATACATAACAATTCACTATTTGGCGACCATGACAATCCATCGATGCTGTTTAAATGTCCGCATATTAATTTCTAAAATTTTAAAGTTTGAAATAAATATTTAATTTGATAATGCTAAAATTATAAACAATAAAATAGATATACAATAAAACACAGAAAGTTTTGCTAAAGAAAGTTATTGTCTAGTGACTTTTGTGTTGACCAGGTGTCGTCTTTAACATGAATGAAAGCCGCGTGCATGGAATAATCATTAGTTTTTGAGGTTAAATTGTATTTTCACAATTACTTGATGTATTATTAGTCAACAATAAAGAAACAGATAATGACAACGTCTTACATATCATGTGCCTGTAATCGAATTCCACATTCAGCCGATTGGGGAAAAAATGGACTTGTTTGTTACGCGGCGTGTCATGCAGTTGTAATTTATGATCCATTTATTTCGAAAATTGGAAAAGTAACAAACACACTTCATCGACATAAAGGACGGATTAATACCGTACGATGGATTAAACATAAAAATTTGGAAGCAGAGTTTGAATTACTGTCCAGTTCGATAGATAGAACTGCTATTATTTGGAGCAAAATTAATGAATGTTATAAATGTACATCTGTCATAGAAGATGATGATATTTTGACATTCAGTAATTCACTGTATCTTTCTAATGATAACTTTTATATAAATGAAAGTTTCCCAAAATTGTTGATTTGTACTGGATCAATTAAAGGGAATTTAAAATTATGGCTCAGAGATACTTGTGGCACTGTAAAATGTGTACAAACACTTATATTTGGAACAAAGCTTCCTATAGAAGCTTGTTTTTATTATCTACCAAGTACAAATTTACCACTTCTAGCTGTTGCATTAGAAAATTCAACGATTGAATTATATGTAACTACTTCCAATAATATAGAAGAAAACCACTTTACAAAAGTACAAACTTTGGTTGGACATGAAGATTGGGTTCGATGCATGGATTTCATTTATGATATCGATGATAATATTTTACTGGCAAGTGGATCTCAAGATGCTATGATACGATTATGGAAAATCTCTGCAAATAAAGCAGAAATATTAAGCAATGAGCTACAACAAAAACAACAAACATTTATAGTTTCTGATAAAAAATACAATATTACTTTGGAGTCTGTACTCTATGGTCATGAAGGCTGGATTTATGGCATACATTGGTATCCACAGCAATTGAATAATAATGATTTAAGATTGTTATCTTGTTCATTAGATAAATCTATGATTATATGGGAACCAGATAAAGTAACTGGAATTTGGTCTGAAAAAGTGAGAGTGGGGGAAGTTGGAGGTAACTTAATGGGTTTTTATGGATGTAAATTTAGCAAGAATGGATTAAATATATTAGCACATGGATACCAAGGATCATTTCATATTTGGGAATACTCAAGTGAAGTAAAGAATTGGATTCCAAAGCCTGTACCAAGTGGTCATTTTGCAGAAGTAGTTGACCTTTGTTGGGAACCAAATGGAAGGTAATCATAAAATTAAGATAATTCAATAATTTATGTGAAATGTTATAACATTTACTATTGTATTACAGGTTTCTTGTAACTGCAAGTGTAGATCAAACAACAAGAATTCATGCACCTTGGAAACTTGGAACTACAGAATTTTGGCATGAAATTGGACGTCCACAAATTCATGGATATGATATGTCTTGTTTAGCTATGTTAACTCCTTATACGTTTGCTTCAGGAGCAGAAGAAAAAGTCGTTCGTGTATTTACAGCGTCAGCAACATTTAAGAATAGTTTAATGAAAATTGCCAATGTTGATGACTTTCAAAATATAGTAGCAGACAGTGCATCAGTGCCTGCTCTTGGATTAACCAACAAAGCTACATTTGATGATAATATTAAAACAAAGACCGAAAACAATAATTCTGAAAATGAAGAATACATTCCTCCAACAGAAGAAGAACTAATGCAAAATACATTATGGCCAGAATTACAAAAATTATATGGTCATGGATACGAAATATTTTCTATAGCTGCCAGACATGATGGATCATTATTAGCAACTGCATGTAAATCAACATCATTTGAACATTCTGCAATATTACTATGGAATACAAATACATGGACACAAATTCAGAAACTTATGTCTCATCAACTAACAGTAACACAAATGGAATTTTCACCTAATGACAAATATCTGGTATCTGTATCTAGAGATAGAAGATGGTCATTATTTAAACTTGAAGACAATACTTATACTTTATATGCAACCAGTTCAAAAAAAGATAGTCTTCATAATCGTATAATATGGTGTTGTTCATGGACATATGATTCATCTTTCTTTGCAACTGGTTCCAGAGATGGGAAAATAGGAGTTTGGAATCCAAATTTTAAAGATAATAAAATTGTTCCAACTGCAAGTTTAGATGTGAAAAATTCTGTAACAGCATTAGCTTTTTCTGTACGAGACATGGAACAGTCTTACATTTTAGCAGTAGGATTTGAAACAGGATATATAGAAATACAGAAATTAAAAGTATGTATTGACTATTCTGTATGGGAAAAATACTTTGTGTATGATTCTTCCCAAGCACACCATTTAACTGTAAAAAGGCTTAAATTTCGACCACACAAAGAAAATTCAAATACTTTGCAACTAGCAAGCTGTGGATCTGATCATATAGTGAAAATACATGATATTGATACATTAAAATTAAGAGATTTGTAATATATTCACATTTTCATATAATAGAATAAAAATTTTAATTATATTTTACTACTTACTTTATCTAACTTCCATCTGTCAGTCCTATAAATTTCTATGTGCTCTTCACCTTCATTTGAAATTACTACTGCTAACTTATTGCCATTTGGACTAAAATGTAATTTTTTAAACGTGGACTTAACATTTTGTATATGAGTTACATTCTTATCTTCCAAAGACCATATTGATATCTGAATCTAATTTTTCAATAATCTTAATAGATTATAATATATATTGACAGTACATTTGTCTATTTACTTACACTGAAATCTGAGAATGTTAAAATATGTTTACTATCAAAAGACCAACTAACACTTTCTAATCCAGCACTGCCTTCCATAAGCTTAAATTTCCATTCAGGGTAATAAACAGAATATACTTGAACAATAGCTTTCTTAATATTTGCACACAGAATGTATTCACTATTTTTGGACCATTCTAAATACTGTGATAGAACAAGACAATTATACAATTATAAAATATTTTATTTTCTTTCTTATAATCAATGTTTAATGATACTAAATGTTTACAAGTATTTAATAACAATTATTTGTTACCGATTTAATTATACGCGTACTAACCTCAATTATACTTGGAAATATGAATGAATGAACGGTATCAAAAGTTTTACTATTTTTAATTATTAAATTTGCGTGATATGCAACTGCGAAAAATAGTCCATCTGGAGAAAAATCACACGACTGATTATTAACCCGTATTAAATTATTTTCTATTTCTAACGTCATCGCGATTTCGACTAAAACAAGCCATAAAATGGTTTATGTTCTGGAATTCGCTGTTTCCAAACATTTTCAAGCAGCTGACGTTATTTCAAGCGGCTTTTTGTGTATTCGTTCCATGGTAGACAACATTCCATTTGCGCAACTCGTTTAACTTCAATGGGCTCCCCACTATTTTATTGTCCAAACATAATCGCCTTTGCAACTTTCTTAACCGCCAAGTATACCCAGTAGTTCTTTACTTCATATATTTTCTATATGTAGACAGATCTGCCTAAATAAGAGAAAATGAATCTTGAAACATATGTTGATAATTTCTTCTAACGTTACTTTTTTAATTTGAAGGTCCTCCCTCTTAGAAAGAAGTTGGAAAAGCTGGAATGTTTGAAAAAGCAGTTCTGAAGTTCTTTCGTTATTCGTATATTTTGTTCACCGCATATATGACCAATAAAGCAGTGGGATATATATTGAAGTTAGCTAGATTGCGCAGTGGCTATTACAGAAAGAATAAACATGCGATATGATCTGCATATAGAATAATCCAAATGTCAGAAAATTGTTGTATATGTTATGATAATAGAAAAATAATAATATATTCTTTATATAAAAGATAATAACATAAATGTTCAATATGTTTTTCACTTGTTTTATGTTTGAAATATATATGCTTGTTTCAATTATGTTGGTAAGAATGAATTTGAAAATAAATAACAGTCAATATTGTGTACACATTTTGCCGCATACGTATTATTGTAATTTTAAGAATAAATAGTGAATTAAACGGGTTTTAACCTTATCTCTACGAATCTGGTATTAAATAAACAGATTATGAGAATTAATAAATGATCAAAAATGATCAAAGATTTTGTTATTCCTATAAACAAAGATGAACTTCTACAGACTCAAAATGGGAAATATCATGTTGAAAAGATTATCCCAATACGAGTTATTCCACAAGCTCTTGATGGTATGTAATTGGTTTTATTTCTTTTCTTTAATATAATTCTTTCATGTAATATAAGTAATATTACATCTTACTAATGCATTTTCTTTTTTGTAGAGGCCAGATTAGCATTTCAAACAAATGGAATTGATTTTATTATAGAACACTTTGATACGTTTTTCTCTGTAATTGTCCATGGAAATAAAATTGAATTACCAATCATTATACGTGCTTTTGATAGAATTTTTAAAGGTAAGGAGTATTAGTGTCATATATGTTGTAATTATTTACATTATTGAGATACATTCTATAGTTAGACTATTATACATTTAACTATTATTTCAAAAAGTAATGGAAACTCTGGTTACAAACATGGAAAACATATTTGACAAACGAACTGAATTGAGCGAGGAAGAAAGAGTAAGATTCCTAAACATAACTAAAATGATTGCATATTTATATGCATTATTGATTTGCCAAATAGAGGATGAAATTCTTAAAGATGGAAGTGATAAACTTTCTGGAAAGGTTTGTATATTAATGTAAATGTTATATCAATATTAAATATTATATTAATATTATCTAATGTCTTTTATTTAGCGTAAGAAAAGTACAAGATCAGAAATTGAAGAAGATTGGGAGGACAATAGAGAAAAAGCATTAGAATATATATATAGATTATTACAATTACCATTACAAAGACTTTGGCAACCTCCGATTGTTGAAGACATATTTATTACGTAAGTTGGCAAATAGTTTGAACAATAACAGAAAGTTTCTTATAAGTTCATAAATTTCATCCCTATACTACAAATAAAAAGAAATTAAATTCATTAATTTAATTAATATCATTATGTTGCAGAGTACTCACTAGAGTGTGCTACAAATTGTTAGAACAATGTAGAGATTCTAGACAAAAAAGTCAAAGACAAACTATTTTTGAGGTAAATTTCATTTATATGTTTTATTTTATTGTTTCAAATTTCAAAACTATGTTCATTTTTAATAAAAGATTTTAGGTACTTCAGTCAAGCGCTACAATCATGGTATAAGCTGTGTAGTCAGAATTATTCAGGTATGTATGATTAAAACATATGCAAAAACATGTGTTAAACATATAAATTTATATTGTAGCTGGTGAAATTGCATGATATATTAGCATCACATATAGGAATCGGAGTTGTGCACATGGTTGATAGCTGTGGTTGTAATGGTTTAATAAGGGAAATAATGAAAGAAATTGATCAAAGTGAACCATCTGAAAGCGACAGTCGTAATATATCATCATTTCTAGAAAGCATTGCTACAACCAAACCAAATCTTATAATTCCTATCCTTGATGACATGATGGATTATTTAGCCAGTGAAGTATGTTTATAGTAGTTCAAACATGAAATTATATGCTCTGTTTACATTATGTTTATTAATACTATTTGTAGCATTACACTATGAGAAATTGTATTATCAACATCTTAGGAGTAGTTATAGAAAAATTGTTAACTGGAGATGAGCTTACTCAAGAACAGAAAAAACAACGTGATGAATGTCTTAATAATTTAGAAGAGCATATTCTGGATAATCATGCTTATGTAAGGTCAAAGGTTTTACATGTTTGGCAACATTTATGTTGTGAAGGAGCAATTCCTTTAGCAAGACAAGGAAAGATTTTAGCTGCTGCAACATTACGATTAGAAGATAAAAGTACAAACGTACGGAAACAAGCATTACAATTAATACGTGCTTTAGTTCAGGGCAATCCTTTTGCAGCTAAGGTACATAACAACTTACAAGTTTTATTTATTAGTTTTCTTTTTATTATACATACAATTTATGATGAAATGAAACGTATTTTTAGTTAAACAAAGTCGAAATTTCCAAATCATTAGAAAAAGAAGAAATAAATTTGAGAAAATTACAAGCTGAAAGCGTTAGTAAGAGTACTCGTGGTGATAGTGAAAGATTAGAATTATGGAATGCTTTACTTCCAAAAATAAGAGAAGCGCTGAAAGAAGTTATTAAGGACACGGAAAAGAAGGAGAAAAAACGAAGTATTCACGCATTATATATAACACGAGTTGGTTTTTATATGAAAGACATACATAACTTACATGTATAATTTTATTTTGCAAATTTAGAGAATGAAGACGAAGAAAATATTGATCCCGATACTGCATTTGAACACGTAAGACAATTGATGCTAAAAGAACAAATTTTGGAAGCAGTATCATTTTTGTGGAAAGCTTGCATTCATTTAAAACAAAGTCCAGAAATTGAGAACTTTTCTCCCGATGCAAAAGAAGAATGTTTATTTTTGCTTTTATTGAAAACATTTATGGAATCAGAAAACAGTCCAAACAATGGACAAGAAAATACTAATAACAAAGAATCGGTTGATACCGGCAAAGAGAAAGAAGAAATAGTAGCAGCAAAACGAGTTGTAAATTATTTGAAAGTACGCATCTAATTATTTCGTATTAATTTTAATAATCATTTAATATCTGTATCTTCTTAATGAATATTTTATTTATAGAATTGCTTAGAATTCGCAGCTGAACTAGAAATTGCTATACCTGTAGCAGAAAAATTACTTTTTTCTACAACAGCAAGCGATGCTGTTGAAGCGTGTACTTTGCTTGGAACTGCTTATCAGTTTGGTGTAGCAGGAGCTGCATCTGCTATACGTGATGCTCTATTTCAAGTACTTCATCGTGATCAGTCAGTACGCAATAATATTGCAGTAGTATATAAAAATATTTATTTAAATAACGCAAATGAAAAATCAGAGCGGCAAAAAGCGCTCGCATGCGTTAAAGCATTGATTAAATTATTGAAAGAACTTCAACCAGGTCAAAGCGTGGCTTTAACTCAGCTTATTTTAACGTGGTACAATAATAACGATATAAACAGTGAAGTTTTACAGGTAATGTTGAATATATTTAACTTTATACTTGTATGTAAAATGTCATCTAACTCTTCACTTTAACAGATTTTATGGGAAAAATTTTCAATGAAATCTGGAGACATAGATGCAATAGATAGTAGAGCAGCCTTAATGTTAATAACAATGATTGCTCAAGCTGAAAGTAATATTATAACAGGAAATTTAGAAGTACTGATAAAAGTAGGATTAGGGCCACGTGCAAAAACTGACCTTTTATTAGCTAGAGACACATGCAGAGCATTGTTAAAAATAAAACACAAAACTGATGATATTGAAAAACCTCCCGTCAGGTAAGTGAATTTCGAACGTAGTTGCGTGGGTGCAATCTCATTCGATTGCTTCCACAGTCCCATGCAGGGCCATATAGCGAAACTTCATTGTATTTAATTTTATGTTTGATAATTATAATAATAACTTTTACTTGTTATTAGATACCCAAATGATCACGAAATATTTACAGAAGTCCTTACACTTTTAATAGAAAATTTTGCTAATATGGAAGAAGACGGATATATATCTTTCGCGACAGATGCGATTAGTATTATTTATCACGTAATGATTTTTATCAGTAACATAATTTTATTTCAAATTTCATAGAATGATACTTTATAAAAATATTTAAACATTCTAGTTGGCCGATCAGCCTGAACATTTAATAAAGAAATTATTATTAGAAGTGTATAAACGAGGACAATTTGACGATAATTCCTCTCAACAGAATGTTCCAATTTTTTTGTTATCCAAATTGTTATATTTGGTTGGGCACATTGCAATCAGAACAATGGTACACTTAGACACATCAGTTTATAAAGAGTTAAGACGAAGAAATATTATACGAAAATTAAGAAAAGAAAAGAATCCAGGTAAAAGAGGAAGAGCATCCGATAGATCTCGAACGCCAAATGGGGTTACTCCAGTCAGTGCAAGACAAACAATTCGTAATAAAGAGGTAAAAAACGTAATCGATATATGGGATGAGGAGTTCAAATATCCTACATATATTCAAAACTTATTAGGTTTTTGTATTATTTAGTCAAGCATCGTTGAAGATAACGGAGAAGAAGCTGTTGAAGGAGCCGTGGAAGATGCAGATGCAGAATTTATAAACGATGTTCTCGAAAATCATGTTATAACCGGAGATGGAATGTTATCAAAATTTGTGTACGTTCTTGAAGTTCAGTTTCTCTCTATATTTCACATTATATGAAAATTGCATATCTTATATTTCACAGGCCATTAGTGTTAGACGTATGTAGATATCCTGATAAATATAATAGCGAGGATATACAAGCTGCTGGTGCTCTTGCTCTTAGCAAAATGATGACAGTGAGTTCCATTTTTTGTGAAGAATCATTACAACTATTAATTACCATCTTAGAACGTTCACCCTATCCTGCTATTCGAGCTAATGTTCTTATTGGAATAAGTGACCTTACAACCAGATTTCCAAATCAAATTTTACCATGGATGAAACATATTTATGCCAGGTAATTATTGGTTATTTCGTTGACTAAAATATAATGAAATATGTCGTTCGTGGAATACGGGACACAGTGGTTAATACTACTGAAATATAATTAACTTTTAGACTTCGTGATGAACATGTGACCGTACGAAGAACTTGTGTAAGGATTTTATCAAGTTTGATAATGAGGGAAATGGTGCGTGTAAGAGGTCAAATCTCAGAGTTAGCTGTTTGCATTGTTGATGAAGACACGCAAATTCGGCAAGATGTGAGACAATTCTTCAAAGCACTTTCACAGAAAGATAATGCTTTATATAACGTAATGCCCGATATATTGTCGCATTTAACTGATTCTGAATTAAATTTGAGCGAGTCCGATTTCCAGGAAATTTTGAAGTACGTGTAATTAATTAACTAGGCGAAGCGTATAATTATGATCTATAATCTAATAATGTTTACAGGTACATTTTAAATCTATTGCAAAAGGAAAAACAAGTCGATTCTATAATTGATAAAATCTGTGCAAGATTTAAACTAGCTACTACGGAAAGACAATGGCGCGACTTTGCATACTGTCTTTCATTGTTACAATTTAGCCCAAAAAGTAAATAATAATTAATTTAAGAGATTGAATCCAAAAAATAATTAAATATTATTTTCTAAAATCAAATAAATTTTATGTAGGTTTACGTCGACTCATTGAAAGTTTACCTCTGCTGAAGGAAAAAATTCATCACAAACATGTTCTGAAAGCACTGCAATCGATCATAGAACAGACAAAGAAAAAGCCAAACACGAAACCGGTTTGTATGGAACTCGAAGAAAAAGTAAACGAACTTTTAAAGGGAACAGAAAATACACAACCTAATGATAATGAAATAATGCCACCGCCACAATCAATACCGAAATCAAAAAAACGTGTTAGACGTACAGTGAGACGGAAAAGTAGTAGTGACGAAGAAGAAGACGATGACAATGACGACGATAATGATGACGATAACGATGATGTCAACAGTAATGTAGATACATCTGAGACAAAAAGTACGTTTTATATATGAGAATATTAGAAGTTTACAAATCATCTCTTATGAATAAATCCTATTTGACTAATATAAAATAATTTTAGCAAAAGGCCTTAGAAAGGTAAAGCCATCCGAGCGTAAATCGGATTCTGATTTAAATATTAATGATACGTCAATGGAACTTACTGAAAGATTATGTACGTATTGTTATTTTTGCATACAAATGATTACTTTCTGACATCTAATTGTTGTTTTCTTTATTAGCTAACGCAAACACACCTGCATCAAGCACAAGAAGAAGCAGAAAGAAACGTACTGATTCAGCTCCTGCAATTCCATCACCGATTACGAAGAAAAATAAACCAGCTGCAACATCAAGCAGTCTTCCAAAAAGATCTTCAGCACGATTATCACATTTACAAGCAAAATAGTCAAATTTGTAAGTATACATAATAGTATGACTAGTGTACAATTTTGTATTTTTTTACGAATTAGATTAATACTGCAAGGTAAAGTAATAAAAGAATTTAAATATAAAACAGTAAACATGAAAAATATATTCTTTACCATATCAAATTATAAATTATAATTTTAATAAAATTTTAATTCTATTCAGTAAGCTAGTAGCGATATGTTTAACTTACTAAATTACATTTAACTGCTAATTTTTATTGTAACATATACTTATAAAGTTTTTTAAAAGGTGGTTTTCAAAAGTATTTATTCAAATGAGAATTATAAATACGAAAAGTAACATTCGAATAACTGATGATACTATATCACAATATAGTAATAATTATATATATCACATTTAAAAAATTAAGCAGAAATTAATGTAATTAATTACATTAAATGTTTTACAGCATTTGTTAACTGTAAAATAAGTGCATACATTTGTGTGGCTAGCTGAACTATGGTAATAATAGGACACTGTATTTTATTATGCATTTGTATACAATCGATACACTGTACGATACTATATCTTGTGAGAAAGACTAGTGTAAAAATCTTGTATATTAACATAAGTTTGACACATGTATCATTAATATTAAAACATATTCGTAAAATTTAGTTATCGTTATACCAGATCACGACTAATGCTACGTTTAAACGTCATAGAACGTACTTCGGTTCCAGGCTTCCCCGATTTACAAGAATTGGAAGCATTAGGATTCGGAGTAGGACTTTGAGAAAGAGATGCTCGCTCGTCGTTAGTACTAGATTTCTCTCGTTCCAATCTTTGTTTACTAAATTTTCCCATTCCAGGGCGATAAATTTCCATAGCAGGACGATCCTATTCAAATTTAACAATAAATGGTGGTTGATTAAAAATTTTTTAATCTAACGATATATTTTAATAATAAAAATAAAATATACCTTATTTCGAATCCTACGTTCTAATCGAGGATCTTTTTTGTCCTTTTCTTTTTCTTCATTTTCAGTCTTTTGTAAATTATTTTGATCTCCGCCATCTAAAGACTTATGTCGCCTCAAATAATTTCCATCCCCTGTACCACCTTCTCCACCACTTTCAAGTGAACTTCGCCTTTTCGTAACCTTTGAATCCTTCTTTTCTTGAGAATCATCGTCCTCATTACTTTCCTTATTAATGTTTTCATTAGATTTTGATTTTTCAATGTCTTTAGTGCTTTCATCTATTGTTGTAGTTTCTATAAATAATTTAATTAATATTTTTAGAAAGATATTTATTATGCAAAATTAATAAAAGTCTCTATTATTTTATTAACATTTATTTCATACCTGTTTTTTTCGACTCCTTCATTTGTTCAATGTCTGAGACAGAATCTTCTACTAAAAGTTTGTTTTCATTGTTTTCCTGTTTCTCTCCGCTTTTAGTGACTTCAGTATCGCTAACGGATTCCTCTCTTTCCTTAACATTTTCATATAAATCAACCTGAGATTCCTTTCTTGGAAAATCTTCGTCTTCGATTCTTGATTTTATACTATTTTCCATATCGACACAGAACTCTACATTCTGTTTTTTGGTTTCGGCAAGTCTTTTTTTTTCTTGTCGCATTTTCTCGTAGCTTTTACCTCTTTTCTCCTCAATTTTTCGATCCCTGAAATCTTTGATATCTTCTTTGAAGTCGTATTTTCTATCATCTTTTCCATCGATTCTTCTGTCATCTTTTATTCCATCTCTTTCATCGCGCCTTCCATATATTTTTTTGTCGTCGTGACGTCTTTGATGTTTTAAATCCCTGTCTTTATTTCTATCTTCAACTCTTTCTCTATATCCTTTCGTTATTGATTTAGAATCCCGATCCCGCGGTATTTTCTCACGTAATTTATCTTCTTTCTTAATACGATTTTTTAAATCTTTAGGTGAAAGTTTATCTCTTTCCTCTTTATTCTCTTTATTATCTTTACACAATTCCTTATCGAGATCTGGATTTTTCAATACCTACAACAAAAGGAAATTTTTATTTTAACTAATATCTCCTTTTTTAATCTATGTAACGAATTACAATAAAGAAAGAGAGACTTTTAACATTTTTTCTAAAAACAATTTCTTTTACAAAATTTAATGTATACAAACTAAACAATAACAAATCAATTACATCATAATAAATCCATACAAATTTGACATACAATAGTAAACAGAAACAATAATGGCATTTAACTAAATCGCATAAATGGCAAATAATTCTGTTCTCCTCATGAGTTTTTAACATACAGTAAATTAATACGTAACATAAATTTCCCTGCTAATGATTTGCAGTTCCCGTTTCATGAATTTTTACGATATGCTGACACTCTTGATTCGCAAATTACTTTAAAAGGATAAAGTTTCTGATAATCGAACATGGCACTGCAACTTCTCGACTTTGATATTTCTGCTGGTATTTGCATTTCCCATGTTTTATGCAGATTAGTGAACTGAGATTTTGATAGCGTAGAAAAATAATTTTTATTGTTAACATAATGAGATGCATATTTAGTATTATTATAAATATGATTATTTTTAATATTGTTCCAATGATTATAATTATTCTTTTTGAAATTAGTATCTTTATCTTTGTAATTTTTTTCGTAAATATAAAATACTTTTGGTTGTTTGTTAGCATAATGCCAGCGCTCATTAATACGAGTCATACTTGTAACACAGTTTACATATACATCAGTACTTTCATTTCTGTAAAATTGTTGTTGCATGTTCAATGAATTTTTACTTGCTCGTGTTACAGTTTTAGTTCCATTAATAGAGATTTCTTCTTTTTGTTCATGAGGTATACTTAGATTTTTAGTAGGATATTCAAAAAATACATCTTCTGCCTTGGCAGTTGAAGAAGTAGATAGGAAGGAATACTTGCTCTGGTTATCTTCAATATTATATATGGACTGTAGGGTGAAAAGATTAGTATCAGCAAATACAGTAGAGAATATTATACTTAAAATTTATGATTAAAGCTTCAATTATATATTTGTTTTGCTACTTTTTCATTCTATACTGTATTTGTCATGTTTACAATTAGTTCAATTTGAATCAAGCAATGATGAATGTAGAAAATACAAAATATAATATCACCTTGGATATAATAGGATCCTCTTTCGTTCGTCTTCTTTCTAAATCCCTTCGTCTCCTTTCTTCCCGTTTTTCATCTCTTAGACGCTGTTTTTCTTGCTTACGTTGCTTCAAGTATTCCAAGAGAGGTGTAGTTGTAACTTTTTTTGGTGTATCTATTCATGATAAATATTAGTTTATAAAAATTCATTTTACAAAACATGTAAACAGTTCAAACAACTTACTGTCAGGTGGTTGATATGAGTACTCCGTTTTTGGTTGTGCTACATTAGATTCAGCTTCTTGATTTTTAAGACTTTCTAAGAAACTTATGTAATAAGGATCAGATTCTATTGTACCACATTTTAAATCTTTCTTTTTCCCTACTCTTTTCTTTGGTAACCTTTGAAACGGTGCAAATTCTACTACTGCTGGATATTCAGTGCCTTTAGAATCAACAAACACGTAATTATCAAATTTTTCTCTGAACATAAAGATGTCTTGTTGTTCAATAAAATTAATATATGCACGTGAAAAGGCAAACTGTCCCATAGACATGTCGGCTTTCACAAAATAAAGATAATCATGTTCAGGTAATGGGGAAACTTGCTCCAGGAATTGATCCTGAGTCATAGTTGGAGGCAGTCTTCGTATTACTACCTATAAATAAGAATTATCTTTTTCATTATTAGTTAAAGTGTACTTAAAATATATAATGAATGATTTTTAAAAATAACCACAAAAATATTCACAAGTTATCAGTGTCTCATAAATTATTTTTTATCTTTTTATTCATAAAATGAAGACAATCACGTTTGTAACATGTTGAAATTGTTTTCATTTCAATGATGATACATTAAGTCATGTTACATATAGCTTGGTTCTTTAAAATCTGATGAAATATATTGCATAAGATCCTTTATACATAAAATAATACTTTCTTTATAAAATTATGTTCTAATTAGTTTAAATCGAACACAAAACTTCGATCTTCAATCTGACGAATACAACACATTACGTGTAATTAGAAGATATTTTATATTTGTAGTAAAAAACTCATAAATTTTCAGCATCACTTTGATTGAATATACCTTTGTCATAGGCCGGCATTTTTCTTTTTTACTATCTTTAATTTTTCCAACATCTGGAGAACTAGTTTGTGCTTCATTTTGTGCAGCTGACTCAGATTGCTGTGTTTCCTCGGTCATTGTCATCTACATTTATTTAATTTCTCGATAACTAAGACCTATTCAGCATCAGTTCAATTCACTCTGTTTAAAAATACCATTCAAAGCATGCAATTTTCTTTGAAATATCAAAATAAACGTTTCCGTTTACAAAGTTTCCGCGGCCATCTTGATTCACTCAATCATCAAGAAAAAACTTATTAGTTGATGAGAAAACAAACTTTCATTTAGTAGGGAAATTTTATATACAAATCTAGGGGATTATATAGTGTAAAATTTACACATCAAATAGATAATTGTTTTTTTATTATAAATATAAAGGTATAGGGACAATGGGAGAGTCAATATGGACCGAACAATGAGGTGAATAAACCGATGACCAATTTTGATTGGTTGCCATTCAGTAAAAATGATAAATTACCTGAATTTAAAAATTTTGAGGTTATTTGGGTCCTCCTTTCATGATAGCTTGTATTGTCTGCAAGCCAAATTTACACCTCAAATAAAAATTTAATATAACATAAGCCGTAAAAAAATTATACAGTCACATTTGTATAAAACAATTTATTGTCTAAATTTTTTAAATAGTAACTATATAAATTAATTTATAATACTTGTTATAATGTACAATATCATAAATACCATTTATGAAGTTCGTTGAAATACTGTTTTATTAAATTGTTATAAAATAAATAAAAGTGTAGCAAACAAATTTCATAAATTAATAAATATCAACAAGCAAAATTTACAGTCTTCTATAACTATCACGCTGTTGTGATTGAGATCCTGATGTTAAGGTAGAATAAATAAATGGTAAAATTGATGCTAATGCTAGACAAAGACCTATTACTGGCCGATACCATACCCAAGCAAAACCAATTACCAATAAGCTAATGGACATTGATACTGACATTGTTAAAGATTCAACTGCAATAATTCCACACAAGAACGTTGAATTTAAGATTACTGTTCTCAATATATTTGCTAAACATGTAGCTGCCAAAAATAGAACCAACCAGCCAAGTCCCCTAAAATGATTATTCGTCTTTTAATCAAGTGAATTTAACAAAATGAAGAAACACAGAAATTTGTTATTCAGATTATACAAAAAATTACCTAATACTCCATGTACGCCAGTAATTATGTACATGTTCTAGATGAAACATTTGATCTACTGACATTTCATGTTTCCTCTGAAGTAAAATCTCCTCACCATGTGATGTAATATATGGTACGATAGTTCCCTTTTGTAACATACCAACTATAGAATATATATCTCCACCTTTCCCTGCATATGAAAATTGTATTCGTATGTCTCCTACCTATGACCAAAAATATACCATTTAAATCCACTCAAAAGGGCTTAACAATGTATAACAATTGCTAAAATAAAAATTATACCTGTGGGTTCCATAAATCAGAGCTATGATAGTACAAGCCAGAATGCATCTTAATATCTTTACGTTCTGGTCTTTCATCACTGGTAACTTCTACAAAATCATTAAATTTCTTTTTTAACTCAATTCCAAGAGTAAATGCTCCAATTTTAACTTCATCTGCAATTTGCACCTGACTTTTAATAGGCATTTCTTTTGGGTTATGATGGCCAGTTCTGATATAGAAACTATCTGAGTCAACAAGTTTATCTTTCCACTCTGTTGTATAATAATAATGTTTTTCATCCTCTGTTACTCCACCAAAACTGATATATAAACATATAGAGTTGATATGATAGTTAATATGGATAAAATTATAAAGTTTTATAGCTAATTGCATGTATTACCTTCGTTCTTCTTCTATCTCAACCCATTGATACATTTGAACCCTTCGTTTTAATTTTACACTTGATACAATCACTCCATAATCCGGTTCAGTCAATGGTTCTGATATTTTTAAGGCTCCTGATAAATATATCAAACGTCCTTCATATTCAGGTAACAATTTCATTGCATTTGGAAGTACTGCTACATTACGCAAAGCTTCATCCAAAGAATGTGCTACTTTTACTGCCCTTCCCTATAATGGTATAAATATATTCTTGTGACATTTAACTGTATAATAAGATATACAGATATTCACAAACCTCATTCCAAAATAAAAGGCACATGCCAGTTGCAAACATAATTAGTCCAATAATAGCAGTAAGCCATGATTCTCTAAATTGTTCAGAAACTGTCAATGGAACATTTATTGCAGCAGGCTGTCTTCCATTGACTCGATTCTGATGAATAGGTTCAGCATTTGCCCTTTGGGGTTGCCCATTTTGCTAAAACATTTATTTCTTATGTTTAACCTGTATTTTTCTATATGAATTATATACAATATAGAAAACTATTTTTATGCACAAGAGAAAACAAATATTTATAGAATTTACAGATATTATTATTTTTATTATCATTACAAAAATTGTGTACATCTTCTTTATGCTTACATTTGCACGATACATTGTAATAGATTACATTATATGATAGTTACAAGATTCAACTTTTTAAATGAAGTTTTAAATGAATCTTTAATATGCATACATCAATGTTTATTCACCAACTAGTGTATCTAAAATTAAACTATAAATATTACATTATATATGTATAATATAAATTTATGCAATTACACACAATTTTGCTGCAATTCGGTGATGCTATGCATCACGTGCAAATACATTGGAACCATAGATTATGACTTACATACATACGCCATCTCAGTACGGTAAAAACATTCCTTCCTTTTTTATCATATGATAAAATCGTTGCGCCCTCATTGTTTTACAATGCGTGGATTTGAAATTTGAAACAGCGTTTTACAGTACATATTCATATCTAACAATTGTTAGTTTTGGTTGCATGTGCTAGGTGTGCATCCGCTTCAGTTCGATTCGGTCATTCGAAGGTGGTGGGTGTAGTTTTGTTATTCATGTACAACTATGAGGGTAAACTTAATAAATATGATTTGATCATGTATTATTTTATTAATAACAATTGTAATCTCATCAAAATTTGTTAATATTATAATCTGAAGAGTAGTCAGAAAATTCAGTATTCTGAAAAACCAATAAAATGTGCATATCTAGTTGTAACAATTTGTGACAGCAATAAAACTTTTAAACAAAAATCATATAAATTATAAATGCAACTTCAAAGTACAAAAGTAACGAAACTAATTGTTTTTAGACAGTATGCAAGAATGAAACAAATGTGACATGAAATGAATATTTAAAAAATATTTCACAACAAATTTTAAGAAGGAAAAAGACATGCCTTGATTATGAAGTGGATAATAATTTCGTGTATTTTATGTGTATTTGGTTGTTTCAAAGAGTTCAGACCTTCAGAATCTTTTGTTACGGATTATTTAACTGGATCATGGAAAAATTTTACAAACATACAAGTAATATAAAGTTTCTTTTCATCTAGTAGTTACATGTAATCATAGAAATTAATTTCTATTAATTTAAGGAATTATTTTACTTATTTTAAAAATATGATATATTTTTATTATCAAATGTTTGATTTCTTGATTTATTATCAAGTATTTGAATGACATTTAAAAAAGAACGTATTACAGAAACATCATTATTTTTCAGGTAAATCAGGAAATTTTTCCTGTTTCTACATACTCTTATTTTGCAACATTAGTTGTTGTATTCCTAATAACAGATTTTGTGCGATATAAGCCTATTATTATTTTGTGTGGCTTTTCTGGAGCTTTGACTTTCCTTTTGTTAATAGTTGGGAAAGATTTGCTGACTTTGCAAATTGTAGAATTCGGTTATGGTTTGTTTTTTTCTACAGAGGTAGCGTATTATACGTACATTTATGCTAAAGTTGATAAGAAGCATTATCAAGAAGTAACAAGTCACACAAAAGCAGCATCCCTTTTCGGTCGTTGTTTATCTGGAATTGTTGCTCAATTAACGGTATCTTTTGATATATTAAATTATCATCAATTAAACTATGTCACACTATCAGGTATCATTAGCTTTTGAAATTATATAAATTATTAGTATTTATGTATTTTTAGAAATTTATATTCTTTCATGAAATGTAACTTACATTTCAGCTCTTACATTTGCAACACTTTGGGCATGTTTTTTACCTTCTGTTGGTCAGTCTATTTATTTTCATAAAAAAGATGAAAATTATGAAAATTACAATTCGGCAACAAATAATGCAGTAACAACATCACATGATGTAAATGGAGGTTCACATAGAACAGAAGAACATAATAATTACAATTCTCCTATAAAAAATATTTCTTTCCTACATAAAATTAAACAGGCTTATGTTTTATTATGGAATGATTTTTTAGTAGCATATTCGAATAATCATGTTTTAAAATGGTCAATGTGGTGGTCTTTTTCTACTTGTGGATATTTGCAAATTATTAGTTATATACAATTACTTTGGCAAACAGCTGTATTACCTGGGGATAAGATTTATAATGGTGCTGTAGATTCTTTATATACAATTATAGGTGAGAAAATGTATGTGCTGTATTTTGATTACAATTTTTTGTCTTTCAGTTTAATATAATGTACATATACTGTAAATAATTTATTACCAATATAGTATTATCTATGGTAGATAAATATATGAACTTAGTTTTATTTTTTACTTTAGTGAATATTTAGGATCAGTGAAACTATTTTGTAAATCAAATTTTTATATTTCTAAATGCCATCAAATTTTGGAAATAAAAAAATAATATTCTTGTTTTTATTACTAGGTACAGCTACTGTTTTTTGCATTGGAAAGCTACCATTTAATTGGTCTGTGATAGGAGATGTAGTAGTATCATTCATGTCACTTGTGGAAGGTATTTTATTATTAATTTCATCATATAGTTACAACATTTGGTTGTTATATGGTGTTTACATATTATTTGGAATTATTTATCATACAATGGCTACTGTTGCTAGGTATGATTTTAAAAAATTTATTAAGAAAAAATGTAATATAATTTCATAAGTTATTATGTAATTTTGTGATTTACAGTTTTGAAGTTGCGAAGTGTATATCAGAAGACAGTTATGGTCTAATATTTGGTGTAAATACTTTTATTTCACTATTATTGCAAACTATATTAACAGTTATTGTAGTAAATGGAAATTTAAATTTAGACCTAAGATCTCAGGTAAGATTGAAAGTGAAGAATTTAGTATAAATATTAAATACAAATAAAGAAATAGAAGTAATTTTAATAAACATGTGCCTAAAACTGAAAATAATTAAAGTGCTTTATTTTGATAACAGCTGTTAAGTATACTATTAATGTATATGTGATAAATTAGATTCTTATTTGTTGATAAAAGTAAATGTTTTTATCATGTTAGTAATTTCCACAAGTGCTATGTATGATACTTGAGAGATATAAGCCATTTATTTAAAATGAAGTAATTACTTTCACAAAGCAAAAATATAATTTATTTTCTTTTTTTAGCGTTTTATTTGGAATCAAATGTTTCGGCGCTAATTCTTATATTTGAGCAATTTTATAGGATCACATAAAAGCACTTGAAAAATAAATACTAACAACTTTCAGAGATTTTTTTTTTTATAATTTATAAGATAATCAGTTTTTAAATACATGTTTATTGAAGTTCTTTTATTTCCTGTTATCAATTAATATTATATCTGTAGTACATTCTATATTTTTTCAGTACTTTGTTTATGGTGGTTATTTTATTGTGATAGCAATACTATATACAATGATAGGCATTTTTAATATAGTACAACATTGTAAAAGTGGCACAAAGTTCAAAATTTTATTAAATAACAACAGTACTACAGAAGAAGTACAGACTGAAGAAGAAATAAAAGTTGTCCAAGCCACAAAACTCTAGTGCATAATACAATTTTTTAGATAGTAATAGAAAATGTATTATTATTTATTTCATAGATCATTTGTTAAAAATAGTATAAATTTCCATTCTTATATTATTTACTTGCAGGTTCAGGTAAATAAATTGTTAGTTCTGTATTCTTTCAGTAACTGAAAGTATGTTCGTAAATTACGATTTTAATAATGTGAAAAGGTATTACAATTGTCAAATTAAAAAAAAGACATTTTAGAATATGTTGACTTTAGTATTATGTTAAAAAAATATACTGAAATTTATTTTCGTAAAATACAATTTTTTGTACAGAATATTATCTCAGACATTTCCTAGTTTATATCCTGCTTCACTTCAAATGTTTATTCCTTTTCTTTTTTCGTGGAAAGCAAAAGTAATTTTATAGCGTTTAACACATTTTCTCTACACTTCTAAAAGTAAACAAATATTTTGCAATAATTTTCTAATTAATGTTGCCGTTTTTTTTATCCCATAAAAGACACTTACTGTCGAAAATGTTTGAAATAAACATTTACCTAATTCACGACGAGGATTTGCATTTTTATCGAAGCCTTTAAACAACTTCCACCAAACTATACAATCTTGTATGCTCTGATTAAAACCTTGATCGGTGTTATCGATTGTATCGTTTCGTATTATTGATATAACAGACTTCATCGATTCGTCTTGAATCAGTTTTGAAAACATACAAGAATAATCATCACATACATTTTTATTGGAATGTAATTTATCCAGTAATAAACTGTCTTTTAAACATATTTGTAATATCCAGTTTTGGGGAACTATAATGGGATACGATTGAAATATACTCGTATCTAATTTATCAGAATCCGTATTATCAACATTATCTGTTACAGCTTCTTTTGGTATTTCAGAAATACGACCATTATTTGCTGATAATATTAACGATGTTCTTACGTCTAGAATAAGTAAAAACAGCTATAGTCAAGTCACATTTAAATAGAGGTTATTTATGAAATCAAACGATTTACCATGATAATGTAAAATTATCATAAACACTATTGTTATCATTATAAAAACATTATATAATAAAAATTGTATACAAATCGCAAAATCGATGATGACTATTATTGAAATATTTTGTTCGCATAAAAACGACAGAACTCCTATTTTGAGTGCAGTTATAAGAAACATTCTATGCTGACAACAAAAAGTTCAACATGTCCCTGATGAACAAGGTTAAATATTTTTCTCGTTTAAACATATCAGTTTTACCAATAAGATACTTTAAGATTATCTTAATAGTTTTAATCGGCATTTCAAAATGTGTTATCTTATAAGATTGCTTAATTTATTTCTTCTATCGAAATCAAAAAACCCGCCAATTTAAGAGTTAAATTAGAATCGATAATTTACCGATATATGTATCGAGTTATTTTTGCAAGATAAGTTTAGAAGCAATTACGATACCAAAGACTAAACTGTGGATGTTTTATGCTCTTACGATATATTGAAACCTGAAAATCTGAACCGTAAAATTTATAAAATCAACCTAGAGACTGCATGCTTAGTATATCTCGCAGACCTTCGTACATCATAAATACATAAAATATCCGCATTCTAATTGCGACATTGAATGTAATCAGAAGGTAAGGTACAAATAAGTAAATATATTTTTATCATTGTTATTAATTGAACAAAGTAATAAGATTGAAAGATTATCATAATAATAATACATATCGGATAAGAAGATAAGGTACGTATAATCAAATATTTCTATTATTTTGTCATTTAATATCACTGTCTCGCTTTTCATTTTATTCGATCGTATTTGTTTTCAGCATAATAGAGAATTTGATGAGAGAACAAATAATGCTTGAAGCTTTATCATGCTATAATATTGCAAGGTGATATTACATTAATTCCTGGATTGCGTTAAGAACAACGGATTCGCAAGCTTTTGCAATTTGTCGCGATAAACAAGATCCGATTTCCTCGAGTCGAGACAATTCTGCTCGTTCTTCTATCAAAGGATATTCTATAACGGCACGTGGTTTCGTCATTGTGAAATGCAATCGATCGAGCTCAGCTGTTTCTTCCGAATTCAAGGACTCTAAAAAATCAAATTTCACATCAAATTTCATTTCTTACGGAACACACTTATTTAAATAATCATATTCGACTCTAATAAAAAATACGTAAAATACTTTTAATTAAATATTTTTATTTTAAAACTATTTCTATTTTCTTTCATGGATGTATCAGTCGTTTTATGATCAATATTTGTTTAATTCGTTAACCATCGTGATTTAGAAATGTACGTTTATTCTCGAGTTCCGTAATTTTATTTGCTAGCCTCCGACGAATTGCTTTCATTTCTTTAATTGCTCGTCTTGCTTTTTTCATTTCCCTATGGTCATCTTTCTTCTTCAATCTATTTATTTTCAAATTTCGTGGAATTTTGTTTCTTTTGGATCTTTTTTTTCTGTTTCTAATCTGTAAAAGTATAGGAAGATATTTATGTATCGACTATTTGTAATGATCTGATTATTATATCGCCTCGTGCTATATTTCCATGTGTTGATAGTTGAAGTGTTCGATGGTGGGGGTACGTCAATGATAAGAGAACGTCGATAGTGGTGGGGGCATTTCTGCGTGCGCATAAATAGTAGAGTGTCATTAGTGCACATGCGCTAAGTAGCGGAGAGCATACACTAGTGCGCGTGCGCTGTAGTGATGAGAACAAACACTAGTGCGCATGCGCCGTGTCGGTGGAGGGGATAGCACTATTGAGCGTGCGCTGCGACGGTGGAGGGGGTACTTATTAGTGCGCATACATCGTTGTGGCGGGTTAGTCGCTTGCGCGTGCGCTATGATGTATCATTAGCGCGCAAGCTTTGGATAGCGGGAGCGTTATGAATGCGGTGACAATATAATATAAATCTACTATTGAAATAAAGAAAAAAATATAAAGTAGATGCAGCAATCATTTATTAAATCATGACACAAACCCAATGTACAATATTTTGAAGTATTATAATTCCTTGTCTACATGTAACAATAAATACTTCATTTAGAACTGCTTTGAAATTAAACGCCTCACACCTTAATCACTGTTACAATTGAGCATGGATGAGATTAAACACGAAATGATTATCCATTGACTTACGTGAACATTCAATCGCATACGAGTTAATCTCCTATCTTGAGCTCTTTTGTAACGTTGCCAAAGCTTGCTACAAATTTCAGCGGCACGAAGTAACTTTGATCTTAATTTCTGGTTTGAAATACTGTTAATCAAGGAGACTATTTTTCCCATGTTAAAGTCGTCTTGTCCTCCACCCTGGTCACAAATTATAATGTATGTAGACATTCTATTTCTATAGAGGTCTATCATATATATTGCAAAGCATTTTCATATTAATCTAATTAGAAATATTTAACAAATCTTCAGATTCCTAGGTTTAATACATTCTTTAGATTTTCAAATTTCTAGATTTTGAGATCTTTACCCATATCCCTAAATCTCCATAGATCTCAAAATCCCTAGATACTCAGATTCTAGGATCTATCTTCTAGGTTTCCATATCTTTTAAATCCCTATATGCCTATATTTCTATATTTATACTAGATCTTTATATCGATTTCTTTAAAAACGAATCTTTGTACGAATAAAATATCGTTCTACTCGAATACATATAATTGCTATTGACATCTACCAATTCGATGAACGTGCAGTCCCAGTCAGTCCCATCATGCTGACACTGCATACTTGCTTTCTCGACCTGTTCCGTAATTTCGGTGTTTTTCGTGCAATAAGCAAGTACCCAACTTTTAGGTACATCGATCACAGGTAAGATCTTCCACACTTTCGCCGTGATGTCATCCAACATTTTCAGAGACGTTTGGTTGCTAAATGTGTGGAATTCGGTGGGTACTTCCATCTTGGACATGTCTTCCTCTGGCGTGAAATGTACATGATAGCGCTGAGGAAAGAAAAACTTCGTGCTTGATATTGTAATTTATTATCTAATTTTTGTATTTACTTGCAGTTCTTTCGTATTGGCCAATTTGAATGTTATGGTACAAATAAAGAGCCACTTGATTATTGTTAAGAATCTTAACATCGAGTATTAAGTTTTAGTTAAATCTTCCTTTTACGCCCAGTACGAAACATTTTATTTGGATTGGCAACTGAAAATCTGTTATGAATATTAGTATTAGTAAAAGTGCAATCTAAAGATAATACAAATGCAATATTTTAAACTCAAGAATTATCATATACATATTTATTCAGTAGATTTTAGGTAGAAAGAAGTAAACACGAAATATAAAGAAATTAAAAGAAATAAAAAATGAATTTAACATTATCATAATACGAATAACTTCCTTGCATAAATTTATAATTTACATTATTAATATTACTGTCATCCAATTTTCGTTTCACGACTAAAAGCGATTATGTCTTTTAATAATAAAAGACATTTTACCTAGTCGAAAAAATGAACCTCTGCATTCATTAAAACTTTTTTAAACATTTTCTTCGTGCATATAATAATTCCTGTTAGGTCCATGCTTTTACAGGTTACATCAGTCCTGAGGTTACCTCTCGCGAAATAGAATTCAATCATCGAATTAAATTCAATGAAACTTGCTCGTAATCCGTATCAGAAAAGAGACATAATTAATCGAAACAGGCTGATCACCGTAACAATAATTACAATAAAAAACCACGCGATTACTAGTAAAATGACCAACATAAAGAACGACAGATACAATGTTATTAATTGCAACGAAGAAAAGACGCAATAGGGAAAATCGATGATCAATATATCGTTTTGTTCAGGGCCGGTTGCGAGAGGGGTGCAGGCGATGCAAAAGGTAACAAAATGGAGAAAGAAAATAAAGGAAATAAAATGAGGAAATCACATTGCTGCATATATTAATATTTCTTTTATTTTTATATTTTATTTTCTGTAATATTATTATTATTTTCATGTATTGGTATCAAGTTTTTGTACCGTAAAAAAGAAATTGCTTGGAATCCGAAAATATGGCAAATGTGTTCCTTTCTGGGAAGGGCCGGGTCTGAATCCAGGAATTTTGAAACCTATTAGCAGATAGAGGCGACAAGGTTGCACCAAGAAATTCGTTACTTCACGAACGTACCGGGGTCTGGTAAGATACATATACGATTGCGTCATCGGTTAAAAAGAAATTTTCGAAGAATCTTTTTTCTGGTATTTTGATACATTTATGATCGTGTACCTAAAATAAAATCTGGAAGTTTGAGAATGAATTTTGGAATTTGGGAAAGATCGCAATTTGCAGAATTTGTAATTTTGGGAATTTTGGGAATTTTGGGAACTTAGGGAATTTTGGGAATTATGGGAATTTTGGGAATTTTGGGAATTTGGGGATTTGGGGATTCGAGAAAGAGGGATTTGGGGAATTTCGAAATTTGGGAACTTGATGGTATAGGAAATTTGAGAATTTGGTGATGTGGGAATTTTGGAGCTTTGAGAATTTAGGAAACTTGAGAGATTTGGAAGATTTGGGAATTTGGAGATTTTGAGATTCGAGAAAGAGGGATTTAGGGAATATTGGGATCTAGGACTTGATGGTATGGGAAATTTGAGAATTTGCTGATGTGGGAATTTTGGAGCTTTAAGAATTTAGGAAACTTGAGAGATTTGGAAAATTTGAGAATTTGGGGATTTGGAGATTCGAGAAAGAGGGATTTAGGGAATATTGGGATCTAGGACTTGATGGTATAGGAAATTTGAGAATTTGCTGATGTTGGAATTTTGGAGCTTTGAGAATTTAGGAAACTTGAGAGATTTGGAAGATTTAGAAGATTGAGGATTTAGAGGATTTGGGAATTTGGAGATTTGAGGATTCGAGAAATTTAGAGAACTGGGAAATTTAGGGATTTTGTAACGTAGAAAGTTTGAAGATGTGGAAATTTGTGAAATTGAAGCCTTGGGAACTTAGGGATTTTGGAAGCTTCGAAAAGCTCAGAGATTTGGGGATTTTGAAAATTTGGAACTTTGGGAATTTAGTAAATTGGAAAGATTTTGAAAACTTGGGAATTTGGGAAATTTGGAGAACTTTGGAATTTAGTGGTTTTGTAATATGGAAGGATTTGGAGACTTGTGAAATTTGTAGTTTTGAGAATTTATTAGAAACTTGAGAATTTGAGAAATTCAAGTTAGTGATTCAAATTTATGAGCAATTTCCTAATTTATGAAATTTGAGAATCTGATAAATTTCAGTATTCAGAGAATTACGAAATTTCAGAATTTGTGTACATGAGAGATTAGGGAAACTTAATTTACAGATTTGAGCATTTACGAACTCAAAAAAATAATCTGGAAAATCCGAAGATGCATTTCACAATATTCAACATACAATCTGTTATTGATCCAAGTACTCTCGTACGCAATAAACATGTGCGTCTGCTCATTTTACCAATAAAAATCATTGAGCTAATGATCTTCGTATGAACTGTATCCGATGCAAACATTTCTTCGTCGAAGTAATGATGCAGTATTCTATGAATTGGGATACAATCGCATTGGAATTTACGATTTCGTAACATTCGTAAATATTTTCTTACCATTCATTCTTTTTAATGCGTGTCATATTACGATTAAACTTCTGTAAATAGAGTAATATTATTAATAAAAATATCATCTAATATGTTTTTTGAATTCGTCTCGATGTCCTCAAATGCTGTAAATAATACAAAATGTATGTTCCTATTTAAAAAACCTAAGATGACCTTGACTTTGTCAAGAGAACAAATTCTTTTCAAAATTTAATTTATTAATATTTATTGTGCACTTCATACCCTGCAAATATTGTTGTAAACTTTTTTTTTGTAAGGTGACTGCAAGTGGGAGAAAAATTGTGAGTAGCGTTACTGGCAACATCCTGTATATTATTTATATTATTATATGTATAATATCATTATTTAAATAATAAATAATATTTTACAATAAATATTTACTTATTTAATGTACCTTGAAATATTTAGCTTTGTAATAAATGTTTATTATATTTCTTTACAATTATATTTTTTAATAAACAATATTATTATCGTTACTATTTATTATATTTTTATTTTGTATTTTTTTTATTATTAGTATGGTATTGCATTATGCAGTGTTCGATGTTTTATTCATTATACAAATATTATTATTTAAATAATAAATAACTTTTTACAACAAATATTTACTTATTTACCCTTACCTTGAAATATTTAACTTTATAATAAATGTTTATTATATTTCTTTACAATAATACTTTCTTAATAAACAATATTATTATCGCTATTATTTATATTTTTATTTTTTTTATTATTATAAGTACGGTATTACATTATGCAGCGTCCGATGTTTAATTCATGAACCAACGCCATGCGTGGCTGCATCGAAGCAGTAACGACCATCGTAACAGAAATGTAAATCGTCAAATATAAGTCTAACACCATAGATTTACAGACCTTATGGTCTATGTACCGAAGGAACAAAGCTTTCGCAGAACGTGGGGATTGTCGACCGCAAGAGATTAAACGATTAAAGAACAGCGATTACAAACGTCTGGTCGACTGTAGCCAGAAAAATGGCAGGAGAAAACACAATAGTTTAATCGCATGTGTAAACACATGTCGCGATAATCTTACACTTTTCAGGGATTTTCCCTACCATCCTTGGTGGTATAAATTCGTAGAGGAAAGCTCTCGTTGCATCTCTCTTCGGGAAATTCGAGATTTTGAAGGTAGCGTGAAATTAGTTACTTTACGTGACAAACTTTTGAGTGAAGGATTTAATACGGTTTTGCTAGAGAAGTTCTTGAAGATGTTCATAGGGTTACAGGTATGATTTTTTGAACACTGCGTTGTAATAATGTGGAAGATTATATTATTATTGTTATTTCCAACTTCTGTATTTCTGAATTTTTAAATATTACTGTTTCTAAATTTTCTAATTCTTAAATTCCCAAATTTGGACATTTGCATATTGCAGATTGGAAAATTTGTAAAAGATGAATTGTTGCATTTCTATCTTTCTACATCCTCAAATTCTATAGCTCCAAATTTCTATACCTTCAATTTCTATATTTACAAATTTCTAGACTTCCAATTCCTACATTTACAAATTTATATATTTTCAATTCCTACATTTACAAATTTCTATATCTTGAATTTTCACATTCTCAAATTTCAGTATCCCCAACTTCCACATTCTCAAATTCTCAAATTTCTAAATCCACATATGTCCAAATCTTCACATCCTAGGTTCCACACATCCTCAAATTTCTACATCTTCACGCCTACGTATTCCCAAATCTCCACATCCCTGAATCCTCACATCCCCAAATTTCCACATCTTCAAATTCTCACATCCCCAAATTTCCACATCTTCAAATTCTCATATCCCCAAATTTCCACATCTTCAAATTCTCATATCCCCAAATTTCCACATCTTCAAATTCTCATATCCCCAAATTTCCACATTTCTAAGTTTCTAAATTTCCAAACTTTCAAATTGCCAAATTCTCAAATCCCCAACTCTCCAAGTCCTCAAATGTCCAAACATCCATATCCACAAGTTTCAAACTCTCCAAATTTCCCAAATTTCTCAAATCCCCAAATATTTCATCCACAAACCTTTGAATCCCTGGATCCTCACATCCTCTAACCCTCACATCTTCATTTCCACATATCCCCAAATCTCCACATCCTCAAATCTCTACATCTTCACATTCTTATATCACCACATCTTCACATCTCTAAATTTTTAAATTTCCAAATTTCCAAACTTCCAAATTGCCAAATTCTCAAATCCCCAACCCTCCAAGTCCCCAAATGTCCAAACATCCCTATCCTCAAATTTCCCAAATTTCCAAACATCCAAATTGCCAAATCCTCAAATCCCCAACCTTCCAAGTCCCCAAATTTCCAAACATCCCTATCCTCAAATTTCCCAAATTTCCAAACTTCCAAATTTTTCAAATTCTTCAAATTCCCAAATATTTCATCCCCAAATCCTTAAACTCCACAAACCCTAAAATTCCCAAATACCCAAATTCACATCGATATGCAATAATCTACAACGTGCCATTACAAGCAATAATACTGTTTACGAAGCATCGTGCTTCTCTGTTAACCATTGTTCTCAAGTATTATCTAACCTCAGTGTTAACTGGAGTAACAATGCTCCTCTTCAATTTTTATAAATCTCTTCGAGCTGATACAATCGGATTCACTGTCAGATTGCATAAATAACTTCTTACTCTTAATTATCAATACAAAGATTGTTTCGAAGGCGTTTATTAGCATCTTTCTTAACGAGAACCCGTAACGGTTCTTAATTAAGACTCATTTCTGAATTGTGTCTGTCTTTTAAACAAAACTCAGATTTCCACGAAGCAGCGTTAAATTAAAAGATCGCTGAAAATCGCATGTGTTTCTTAATTAACTGAAACTCATTTCTGAAATATGTCTGTCTTTCAAACAAAACTCAGATTTCCACGAAGTTAAATTAAAAGATCGTTGAAAATCGCAAAATAAATTACGAGGTTAATTGATTAATTAAATAACAAAGAGCGTTGTTCGTAGGAATCATTTTTTTCACGTAATTTAGCGGCGATGAAATTGTACGAGACGTAGTACTGCTTAATTACTTGTGACAAGTCTCGAGATAGAGCTCTTTATTGTTCTCGTTATAACCATTTAACCCTTCAACGATTTCGACCCGGTAGAGAATCCTTGATTCCTTCTATCTCGCTTTCTCTGGCGTCTAGCCAACTTCGGAAAAGGGAAAACTCTCACGTGTTTATCATTTTAAGTTCTCCAGATTTTTGTAGGAGTTTATTTACTTGAAAAGGTGCGTTCTTTGAGGGCGAAAGTGGGTCGTTCGTGGCACAAATCTGTGAAATCGGTTCAAGGATTTCTTGAGCGGGTTAATCTTTCACAGCTGAAATTAGTTGCAGCATTTTGCAACGGTGATTGCATGGATACGGTGCAAAAAATATTTGAACACGTACATAAAATTTTGCGCGTGACTTAATGTTTTTAAAAATGAAACTTACTGAAATTTTCACTGTTTGTGATAAACTTAAAGGTACATTAATCAATTTTCAAATTCTCACATTGCCAGATTTTGAAGTTTTGAAATTTGAAATTTTCACTTTGTTCGATTTCGAAATTTTCAAACTTTCACTTCTTCATATTTTTAGATTTTCAAATTTGCGATTTCTCAGATTTCCAAATTTTGAAATTCTTAGGTTTTGCAATGTGTAAACTTTTTAACATTCCAATCTTCAAATTTCTAAATCTCCAGTCATCGAAATTTTCAAATTTTCAAACTCTCAAATTTGCAAATGTAAGATGTGCAAATTTTAAAATGATCAAATTTACAAATTCATAAAATCCTGAATTTAGAGGTTTTCAAATCCGAAAACACACGTTGATACAAGTACTGTCGCTCATATCAACGCATAAAACGGCAATATAACGAGAGTCTACTATAAACATTTCCGACGACATCAATTTGCAAACGTAAGATGTGCAAATTTAAAAATGATCAAATTTACAAACTCCTGAATTTAGAATTAAAAACGGCAATATAATGAGAGTCAACTACAAACATTTTCGACATCAGACAAAAACCGTGGCGGGAAATTTGAATTCGCTCGAACAAGCGCATTGAGTATTCATCTCCTCTACTCATATCAAATCACATATTTTTGTTTCATAACGCATCATAATAGGTTATTAAACGTTTATCGTTAAAATAATATAGTGATCTTTAAATAACGCGTATCTGACACCAGCGAAATACATGAACGACTCGAAACGATGACGTGTTTCCCCCTACCTTCGTTCACCGGGATTTCCTGACAATGGAGCACGCTACAACCGGGCATTTCCAACATCGTAGAAGTAACGACCTAACGTTGTATACCGGTTAAACACTGTGAAAAGGATCCGTGTTCGATGGATAACTGTGACACTGGACTCGTGAGTATGTGAACTCGTGGTGGGGAACAACTGGCTCGAGGAGCCAGTTCAAGGCATCCCGATTCCGCTTTTCACTCCGCGTTTCAGTCCAGCTTCGTTCTGCCAAACAATCGGACGTTTTTTCGTTTTAGAGAGACTTTTCACTTAGGACGATCTGCGAAATGTTGTTTCATCCGGTGAGTGATCAAATATTTTCATATTTAACAAGGACGCACTCTTTCATTGATTTTAACTATTGTTATTATTATCACGTTAGTTATGTGTATGATCAATTTGTAATTTTGATGTAGCTCTAACGTTGATGGTGGAATTTTGTTGAATATGGCACGTTTTGTTGGTGGTTTCATTTTTATTGTGGATAATGGATATATTACTTTATATTATATTTCAAGAGAAGCAGTCGAAGTTTCGTTGAATAATTATGATAGCTAGAGAGGAATGATAACCAGTGTGGATTTAGAGATCGACGGATCGAGGAATCTGAGAAGTACAAATTTTGAGGTAGAGGTAATAGAGATATAGATGTAGGTGTAGGTATAGGGTTCTGGGTAGTTTAGCGATCTGAGGTGCTGTGATCTAAGGATATGTGGGCATAGGTGTATGGGGACATAGGAATCGGGGGGTATAACGATGTAGGTATGTAGGGATCTAGGGGTATGACAATGTAGGAATATAGGGATCTAGGGGTATGACGATGAAGAGATGTGGAGATCTAGAAGTATGACTATACAGAGATATGGAGACTTAGGGATATAACGATGTAGGGATATTCGGATCTAGGAGTACAACAATGTAGAGATGTAGAGATCTAGGAGTATGATTATACAGAGATATGGAGACTTAGGGTATAACGAATAGGAACATAGGGATCTAGGGCTACAAGGAGGTAGGCATGTAGGGGCCTTAGTGTGTAACGTCATAGACATGTAGGAGCCTTGGGGTGTAACGTCATACACATGTAGGGGCCTTGAGGTGTAACGTCATAAGCATATAAGGATCTAAGGGTATAACGCTATAAAGCTATAGGGATCTAAGAGTTTAGCAATGTAAGGATCTAGGCAACTAAATCTAGGAAACTATGAGTGGAAGTAAATCTGGGAAAATCCGATGAAATAAGGACGTGGAGAAATTCCAATTTTGCGACCAATTGTGCTATACATCTAAGTCTAAGTGTATACACTTATAACATAGAGAGTGGTATACAAATAGGGATATAAGAAAGTACTGATCTACAAATATAGAGTTACTGGGATATCAAAACCTAGGTATACAGTATTCCACATATGGAGAAATCTAAATATCTACAAATCTACAGATTTAGAGCTATACAATGTAGAAATATATGTAGGGATTAATAGCATTTGTCATTTCAATTATACCAAAATTCTACCAAAAAGTTGCCAACAAGTGTTTTATAAAACGAAATCTGTAATAAACCACGACTAAATTATTCACGTTTCTCCTAAATTTATTTCTCATCAGTGAAGAGTTGTAACGGATGACCCCTATGTTACTACAGCGATAACTTATCGCATTGCATACAGTTTTCGCACTTTTCTTTGTTTCTATCCGCTTCCTCAGTGCTCATCCAAATGCCACAAGCTGGTTATATAAAAACAGACGTTTTTTCGCTAAGAATTGACATCAGCCTTCCTCGAGTCGTGAAGGACATCTTCGAATGACTCCTTCGTTGAGTAATCTTTGGAAGGGCGATATCACATGGAAATTCCGCCTGCTTTAATGATAAAAATGTTGTTATAAACTGCAACAATTAACCCTAAACACTTCTCTTCTTCAGTTTATTCACAGATTTGAAAAACGATAAAAATGGGGATTTTTTCAATGTTGATGTTTGTTGATGTTAGAAATCATGTGTTGATGTTTATTTTTGCTTGATGTTTACTTTTTTTTATTAGGATGTATTTTCGATGATCATAATCCCAAAGAAAGTTGACTTCTATTTCTACAGCGAACGTGTATTAAATTAATCGTTAAACGTGTTTAACGATTTTTGAGCCTCGCTAATCGTTGTTGATAATTTGTTTTTAATTCGACTTCTCTTGTGTTTGGACATCGGTTGCTGATTATGTATGCTGTGCGTGTTTCGCTTACTATACCGAACACGTACTCCGACCAAGAATTTATTCGTGATGTGTGTTTTCGTTGTCATTGGTAGATTTTTACAACCATTTTGTGAGAACCGACATATTCACGAAATGTGTCTGCGCTGGATTTAAAATATCTTCGAACAAAGATATTTTATCCTTCGAATTTCATTGATTTTTAATTGTATTCATTTTTTATTGCTCTAATATTTTTAGATATAAAATTCCGTATATTCGAAAATAATTTATGTTCAAATCTGTATATTCTCTAATTGAGTAAACTTAGCTGATAATAAAAGTCAGAGTTTCAAAATTACCAAAATTATGTCAGCAGAAAATATTCGTTCACAGACTGCATAAAAATGTGCATAAAAATATATACAATATACTATAAATTGCATGTCATTATTCGAAAGCAGATTTCTCGAGAAAAAGCAGAAATAAATAGAAAAATATGCACGAGTGAAATTGAAGATCGTCAAACGAGGAAATGAAAAGTTGCATACGAAATTACGTAAAATCCGCGCTACTGTTTGCGTAAATGGTAATTGAAACGTGGGTTATAATCAAGCGACTTTTCCACGTGCGAAACTGTCACATCGAAAACAAACATACAGAGGTGTGGTGTTTTCTCTCGCTTTCGTCACACGATACTCGTCATACGTTAATTTCAGATAAGAAAGCTGGACTCTATGATGTCACGGTTTGCTTGTTGCTTTCACTCGCATGAGCAATTGCTTCTTTCGTCCCAGATTCTTACACACAAATCTCGTTACACCTTTAGTGACTTTTACACTTTTATAACAATTAGTAAATTTTATTTTTTATTACATAACAAATTTTTAGTTGCAAGTTTTTATTTTATGGCAAGTTAGTACGTTTTCATTTCAGTGTACAGGGTTCTAGGATTATAAGGATCTTAAGATTTTTGGATATAGTATTTAGAATTTTTATTAATAAATTTTAATTTAATAACATATTCCGGCAGGCACATAAATTAATACAGCAGAGCGAAAGATAATAAATCTTAAACAGCGACCCTAAAACAGTGAATACTCACAGTAAATTCTAAAATGCAAATTCTAATCGTACAACATGACAAACAGTAAATTGTATAACCTCATTATGTTAATCGCGATTAGAAAACTCGTCTAGACCTCTAATGTCTCTAAAATTGCAAAATAGCGTGTAAGTAACCAGACCGTGACTCCTACACGAAACTCTTCACATGTGGGAATAAAAATGTCACAGATACGGGTGACGCGTACAGTGACTTATTTGGTCGATATCGCGTTGACCTCGTGCGCGTTGATCTAGATATTCGCATAAATTTTATTTAAAGTTCATGACCACGCAGATCGACCGAAATCACCGAGTTGATTCGATACAGAACTGCTTTCTTCATTTTGCGTTTCAAGATTTCTTTTCACGTCTCAGGTAAAATATCGCTTTCTCTCGGTGTTATCGAGAAAGTATTTTCGCTGCATTTTATTCGAACGTCCGATTACCTACTTCAGCGTATTTAACGAAATACGGATCGATACTTTTTGAAATTTCATTAAAAGATCTTGCTCCGCTTTTATTTTACTTCGTTTTTCATTCAATCGTTCAGTTTCCGCTAGTAGTTACAGTAGACTTTCGTTATTTTGTCATCTTTCTCTTCATGCATTGTGGTGACACTCACAGCGCATGTGCAGAAGTACCATTCCAGCGCATGCGTAGTCTGCAACACCGAAGGAACTACGTGAAAATATATATGAAAATGGCGATATAACGAGAGTCCACTGTAACCAGCAGTATAAAGCGTAACAATGAACAAAGACATTTGGCGCTTTCAGATTTCTTTTACACGGTCAGTTACACCGTTAAATCGTAATCACGTAATGGGACTGAAATGTCGTTCACTCGGGAAATTTTGCAACGACACAGGAAATTACCTGAGACGTCCGCGAACGTTATCGTAAGGTATAATTTAAGTTTGCGCAAGCTATGCACGCACTGCACTTACAGTTAACGTGTCTCCTGTCACGCACGTTTCATTTCACGTTTGATTTACGATACTTTCATTGTATCGTTCCCCCCATGAATTATGTAATAAATATCCCACGATATTTAATTCAATCAACTTACGTTTATCCAAAGATCTAAAATTCTAAAATTTCATTATACTAAAAAATTTATATGTACAACATGCCAATAAAGCTTCGACACTGGCGCTGTTATTAGATAAACCTTGTTAGTATTCTTCGTTCAAAATGATCGGTGGCTAAATACAGAAAGCAAGTTTCGTAAATGGTATGGCACAATTTGATGACATAAAAGTAACAGCACTTATGTCATATCAGTTTGAAGGTTCAAAGAAAATTAGGTGGTAATCCCTCCGTTGGTTTCCTTAATACAAAATGGTTACAGCAAACAATGATAAAAGAATTTACGAACATAAATTTTATTAATGTAAAATGTAATATTATTCTGTATACACATGAAATATCTTAATATTTTATTTTTTCAGGTAACGCTAGCAGCGTTGTTTCTGCTGGGCAGCGCTTCGGCACAATGCAATGTATCGGTTCCGAATCCGATGGTTAAGAAAGGGACGATAAACTCTCGATTCGAATTTGCCCTCGACAGCCTTAAGAAAATGGTAGACATCGATCGCACCGGAAATATCTTCTACAGTCCTTATAGTCTTCATCAGGCGTTGATGTTGGCGTTCTACGGCTCTCGTGGCTCCACCGATACGTCCTTGAGGAAAGCTTTGCATATACCAAACGATCTGACCAAGGACCAGTTGCGAGATTACTATTCCCTCGAGAACTTAAGCAGAAAGCCAGATCTTCAGGTGAGAATACTCGACGCCTTATTTTTTCAAGTGTCTTAAGGCGAACCACATCGATATTTGGCAGGATACAACATTTTTGTTTTGCCAATTGAGTCAGAATGTCTTGGGAATAGATACTTTTTCTATATTAGGTTGATTGTTTCTAACGTTATGTTAGGTTGGGTTATTTTTAGTTAAGCTGAATTCAAGTTAAATTAAATTACATCAGAAGATACATGAATTTTTAGGGGTACATAACTGTATTACTTATAACAATGCAAAGACTTTCGTACATAGACATACAATATTATCTCTACTCATAATTTAATTCAAAAGTAATGCATTCAGTTCGGAGATAAAATGACTCACTTCAATTCTTTTCATTTAGAACAATGGGCCGGCTGACTACGAATACGAATCGGCAAATCGACTATGGATATCAGATACCAGGAAATTGGAAGAATGTATGTTAAATGTGTTCAATGAACAATTGGAACGGACTGATTTCCGTACAAATCCGAGTGCCGTCCGGGATCGTATCAACCAATGGGTCAGCAATGTGACAAGAGGACATATTCGTGATCTTCTGTCTGATGACAGTATCTCGGAGAACACCGATTTGGTGTTGGCGAATGCGGTCTACTTCAAAGGACTCTGGTTAAGTCGTTTCGACAGCGCCAACTCGGAGAACCGCCTCTTCTACACTTCCGGCTCGCAGCATTCCACGACCACGTTCATGCGACAAGAAGGAAACTTTAATTATGGTAATTTTGAAATTTTCATTTTAAGAACATTTGTTCATATTTTTAAGATTACGACAAAAATATACTGGAAACTTGCTGAGGATTCTTCGCAGACATTTATATTGCCTACATGTGTGCTATTTGAATGTACGCACATGAATATCTAACCCAAAACTTATAACTAAAGATACTCTGAACATTTGTTCTGTAGTAAACATAATATCAATCTAATTTATTTTTATATATCGAATTATGTATATAATAATGAAGTGTGTATATGTCCTCAATATACATCAATACCATCAAACTTTCAAATTGGCAAGATAGAAGTTTGTGCGCATATATAAATTCCAATGATCTAGTCATCGTAAAATACTAATAGCCTAAATTCTCTAATGTAAATTCCCCAACGTAAATTCTCTAATTCCTTGATAACTAAAAAGAAATCTCTTGCAGATAAGTCGGAGTCGCTCAGGGTGCACGTGTTAGAGCTGCCATACAAAGGTGAAAAGGTGTCGATGTTCGTCCTGCTGCCGCCATTTGCGAATCCTGAAAATAACAACAATGAAGACAGTTTACGTCAACTGATCGAACGCCTCTCAAACCAGGCAGGAGCAGAAGCACTTAGGTCGCTCTTCGACTCTGGTATATCTTCGCAGCAAGTCGAGGTTATGTTGCCGCGATGGGAAATGGAGAAGGAACTTCCACTAGGAAGATTGCTCCACGAGCTCGGTGCGGGTGAATTGATGATGCCTAATAAGGCAGATCTTAGTGGTTTTCTCAAGGCGGGTGAAAAACCTTTGCATCTCGGGGATGCGATTCATCGCGCTAAAATTGAAGTCACCGAAGAGGGCACCACTGCAGCTGCTGCCACCATCCTCTACTCGTTCCGATCTGGTCGGCCATTGGAACCTGCCGTTTTCAATGCTAATCATCCTTTCCTTTATTTCATTTATGACAAATCGACGCAATCCATTCTCTTCACTGGAGTTTTCCGCACTCCCAGTCCACCAAAAAATAACGCCTGAGGCATTCGTTGAATCGACGTCGATTTAGTCGTTCCTCGTCTTTTTAATATTCGCGGATGATTTGTGGAACTTAGGGTACATTGACGATACACTGTTTCATATTTAGCGCCGTAGAAACGTGTGTCGGGAAATTTGGAAATTAACTTAGAAAGTTTTTATCTTAAAATTAAAGAATCTTCGCGTTTTCAGATTGGTCAACTCTTAAATTTACTGTTTCAGAAGTTGTACCTTACAAATCTTTGAGTTTTTAAATTTTTCAATTTGCGAAGTTGTCACGCGTTCAAATCAAATTTAGAAATTTACGTAATTATAAAGTTTGTTGTTACGATGATAACAGAGATATTTCTATTCTCCCATGTTATTGCATGACGTCATGACGATTTAATCTAACATTGTATCCTAGGTTTGTAGAACGAGTGAGACTTGCGTGTATGAGAATTGATGCGTTTTGTTGTCTATGAGAAAGATGGTTAGGTTTTCGCGCAGCATTATTACTTAGGAATTTCTATAAATATCGTTGTTATCCTACGATACAAATCCTCAATTGTGTAAGTTGCAATATTATAAGAATTAAAATATTTTTATTTGGCGTATGTACAAGTTTCTGATAATTTTGAGGATAATAATGCTGTGCGAGAAATGTGTGTGTTCTGGTTGTGTATAGAAAATTAAGTGTCTCGATGTATTTAATATTTTCACTGAGTGAGGAAAAAGATAATAATTTGTATCGTTTACGATAATTTATTCCTGTTATGTCACGAAAAACATAAGGAGCGAACAAAAGATTATTAAATAATTTCGAGTGAAAGAAAATGCGTATTGTACTAAATATTTTGATACTCAAATGAATTCAATTGCGATTAGAAATCTGTTCTATCCAGAACACTAAATTTTAAAAATATGATCGAATTTTGATCAATTAACAGACTAATTAAAATTAAGAAATATTGTAGTGATTCTGTACCATTTTATATTTTCAACATATACTTATTAAGTTTTGTAAAACGTAAAAACTGCTATCATACAATTATAAGAACAATATTTCCTGAACTTATTTATTTTTCATGGGTAATTTTAAAAAACATGTATGGTGCGTATTGAAGTAATAAATAAACACTAATACAACATAATATGGAGATATTAATTATTTTTATATGGAGAATTTTAGACACCTATTTTGTAACACCTTGTTTCAATTAAGCACTGAGATTATTCTTAAAAAAATATTTCAAGAAAAATTTGCAACTGATAGCTCAATTAATAATTTCGATATGATCTGTGTCGTAAGACACAGAGCCTGACATTAACGTCGAGTACAAAGTTTTTGATGTCCTCTATCGAAACATAATCCTAAAAGTGAACGTAATATACAATTTCGGTAGTTTCGATTTCATTGGGTTTCATCTGATAAAGGTTTAATTTACGACCTGCTATATCGCGATGGGAACTGTATTATTTTGTTCTTTTTTCGGTGTCCATTGCTTTGAAGCAAGTGGGTAAGGAAGGAAACGTTTGCATCGTGCTATCTCGACGCCATATCTTTTCCAAGCGACATGTTTTCTCGAATCTCGGTTCCATTCACTGGTGCTGACGTCACTTGCAAACTGTCGAGGATTTCTCAGATAAAACGTGTGTACAGTCACGTGCAACTGAGCTTCCTCCGTTAAAGGGATTTACTGTCCTCATTCGTTTTTCATTTTTTTTCTTTTGAAGTTTTCGCTTCAAGTTTTCATTGGAAAATTTCATTGGAAATATAACCGTGAAAATAGCTTCTGAAAATGTCTCAAAATTTTGGAATTTAACAAGTTTAAAATTTTTATGTCATAATTATGTTCGATTTTGTCACTTTTTAAATTTCCAAATTCTCAAAGTTCCAACTTCTCCAATTTCCAACTTCTCAAATTTCCAACTTCTCAAATTTCCAAGCTCTCAAATTTCCAACTTCTCAAATTTCCAACTTCTCAAATTTCCAACTTCTCAAATTTCCAACTTCTCAAATTTCCAACTTCTCAAATTTCCAACTTCTCAAATTTCCAACTTCTCAAATTTCCAACTTCTCAAATTTCCAACTTCTCAAATTTCCAACTTCTCAAATTTCCAACTTCTCAAATTTCCAACTTCTCAAATTTCCAACTTCTCAAATTTCCAACTTCTCAAATTTCCAACTTCTCAAATTTCCAACTTCTCAAATTTCCAACTTCTCAAATTTCCAACTTCTCAAATTTCCAACTTCTCAAATTTCCAACTTCTCAAATTTCCAACTTCTCAAATTTCCAAGCTCTCAAATTTCCAAATTCTCAAATTTCCAACTTCTCAAATTTCCAAATTCTCAAATTTCCAACTTCTCAAATTTCCAAATTCTCAAATTTCCAACTTCTCAAATTTCCAAATTCTCAAATTTCCAAATTCTCAAATTTCCAAATTCTCAAATTTCCAAATTCTCAAATTTCCAAATTCTCAAATTTCCAAATTCTCAAATTTCCAAATTCTCAAATTTCCAAATTCTCAAATTTCCAAATTCTCAAATTTCCAAATTCTCAAATTTCCAAATTCTCAAAGTTCCAATTTCTCAAATTTCCAACTTCTCAAATTTCCAACTTGTCAACTTGTCAAATGTTCAATTTTGTCACAATTAATGACAACTGTATCTGACAGAGTGAAATAAGAAAGTAGTTCTCAAACTCGACACCAGAGGGATCCGTGATTCCAACTTTCTCGCAAGTACTTAGGTGACTGTTCGTCCGCACAGGTGCATCTAACTATATCTCCATCTTTGAGATAGAAGTCTTTATAACAATATTGATACTACTCACTGTTAGCACTAGTAGCTTTATTGTTACATAAAATGCATTTTATCCATCTTTAACTCTCACATAGCTTGTGAACCTGAAAATAAAATATTTCATCTTTATAAATTCATTGGTTACTTTACGAAACTCTAAACAAAATTCTGGCTGTTTCGTATATTCTCCACAACACTGCAGAGAACATTCTTTTTTTATATAGCAATTTTTGTTACAGACATAATACTTTTCCACATAACAGTCTTTATAAAACTGTGAAATATCACATATGCCTTTCCTCCATCTTCATAAAATCATAAACCCTTCGCTCTATCATATAGCAACTTTCATAAAACCTGATGAAATATGCGCTTCACCATATAGTTCCATAAAACTATAGACACGATATTCTTCTATCACACAGCAACCTCCATATAGACACATTCTTTGCTCTTCCATATAGCAACCTCTATAAAACTCCATGAAATATCGCACGTGTTTCACCCTCCCCTATTTCGACCGCCATAACGCTATATTACCCGATACTCTTCGTTCCATCATACACTCCTCCACAACACTATGGACAGAATATTCGTCTTTCTCCCGTATAGCAACCTCTAAAACACTATAGGGTCCATCCTTTGTACGGTTTCCTTGACAGCAAGAAAATACTCGTGCTTACAGGATTATACAAGTTGCTAAAAAAAGAACACGAAAGGAAAATGATTAAGCGCACAGAGATCGATCAAGGAAGATTCCTCATAGCAAGCGCAATACCGTTTCAAACGCTCATCAAACTGGTTGGAGAAGTCGTTCGTTCGAGGAAGTGTATACGAGACGTGGATCTCTCACGGATCTCGAGTTCGCTCATCTTTCGCCTGGATCGAGGTCTGCGTCAAGGACTGCCAGACAGCCAGGACTCCTTCTCGAGATGATCCCTGGTTGGCAAGCGGACCGGCTATATACGTTGCAGACGCGTCCGTGTGCTTGTTCGTTTGTATCGGCGCGTGACGCAACCAGATGCCTGATTCTGCCCGAGGATCGAGTTTTGCGGATGCTACCGACTAACGGTCGCTTCCATGTACACTGTCGAGCATGGATCACCTCCCTAGGGAAAATGGCGAGTTCGCTCCTCATATTTTTATACCATAACAAGTCTGTACACCCTACAAGTCTACTGCATATCTCACAAGTCTGTACATCTTCACATCCCTGTACCATCACATCCCTATTCTCCTGTATCCCTAGTCACTCCCTTATAATTAGCAATCCTAGACATCCCTAGGTATCCTTACATCGCAAGTTGGAAAAGCAGAAATCGTGAAGAGACGTTTCTAGGTACACGAACTAAAGTGCTTACATTTTCTAATCATCTGAAATTACAAATCCGGTAATTTCCTGCAATATGTAGGACAGCAGAGTGCGAGTGTGTTGGTCGTCCTTGGAGCCCGCGATTTCCGCGCAAAGCCACGTGACACCATTCCAACGAAGTTTTGAGCAACGATTGGTAGATTATCAGGGGCCCTAGGTACCCACCCACGCCGGGTCGCCGGTATCGTATAACGTTTATGAATAATTTCACGCGATCCGGAGTCCCGATAAAGGGGCGATTTGAAAAAGCATCCGTTCTAACGATCGCCGGATAAAATTCTAACGGAGCCTCGCCACGTTGATCGGGCAACCTTGACAGTACCGGTATAAACGTGGAAACATTGTTAAGGTTTCCCTCGGATACTTTCACTTTCCTTCCTCCTTTTTCGCGGCAAGTGCACGGGCCCGTTGCAAAGATCGGCCGACACGTGATTTTGCGTTAACGGTACCTACTTGCCTCTATACGATGGTTTCGTTTCTCTCGAACCGAAATTGATTCGTTGATCGCTGCTGATCGATCTTAGTCTCATTTTTTCATCTTACCAATCGTTGAACTTCAACGATTCAAATCTTATGAAGTATTTTTTGTTTTATCACTGTGGACCTTGAAGGACTTTGGACTCTAGTATTGACACTTTGTGGCTTTGGGATTTGGAGATTTACAGACTGGAGTACCTTCTGGAGGATTTTTGAGGTTAATGGACTTTGAGATTTAGGAAAATTGTAGTTTGGTACACTTGCGATAGAGGGAAATTTTTAGATTTGGGAAATTGGGATTTGATACATAAGGAGTTTTGGATTCATCAAATCTGATATTTGGGTTCAAAGGTGTTGAGACGTAAAAGCTTATGGTTTCTGGACTTTGGAGGCTAGAGAATTTGAAGTTTGGGGAAATTGAGTGTGTGAAGTTTGAGAATTGTGAAAATTTCATAACCCTGAAGATTTCGGTCTGGAGAATGTGGGATCATCGAAATTTGAGTGTTCGAGAGTCTGGGACCTAGGGAATGGAGTCATTGAATTTGAGACCTGAGGCATTTGCTGCCTAGGGAATTCAGCACACAAAGAATTCAGGTCTAGGGAATCTGGAACATGGATAATCCGAAATCTACAAAATTTGGATCAGAGATTTCGTTGCTCCATATTTCTGGTACCCTACAGGTTTACTTAGGTCTCTCCCAGATTCTTACCGCAAACTTAACTTCCTACATTCTCCACATTCTGCCAGTCGTCACTCAAACGTGTTCTCATCATTCTCTCCAACGACATAAAAATGAAGAATTACGATAGTAACTATTTTAAAACCTTTTCACCAGAAGCTGGTAATTGTAGGTTTAGCGTTCTATCATCACAGTGGATTGTCTCAGCAGTCTCATAAAAGTAGTTTCGCAGTAATTGGTACCGTTTTTACCGGCGCCGATGGAGTTGAGGACGTTAACGCGTTAATTATCGTGGCCACGAAGCACTTGAAATATTCACGCATCGTTGTCAGTTCGGGGCCCAGTTTCCCATGAGGTTGCACGGGTTTCCTTGGCGAGTCGAAATTCTAGCTTGTCCAGGTATCGTATTCATAAGGTACGTATATTAATGGACGTACGGCACGGTGCTACACCGGTGCACGTGCAACACATAAACCACTTCCTTGACAAGACCCAGTTTCGACGTCTCTCGTGTATATACGTACACGTACATGTATACTTATACTTCGGTGCTTAATTATACCACAGGAGCACTTACACGGATGCGGGACGACGATTAAAGTAAAAAAAAACAGACACGCACTTCCTTTTCGGTTTATTATTAATCGCTGGTAATTGGAACGGCATAATTTATACTGTGTATCGGTGTATTTTTATTTGTTAATATTCAACTAATATTTATCATAAATTAGTTGCAAAAGCTGCAAACTTGTGATCGATGTCACGTTCGATCGATCCGCCGACGA